AACTCAAGAAAGGAGTGCGTTTTTAGTGCATAAGTTTGCCGCAATGATAAGTCGAAATGAAGCGAAAGCAACTTCAAGAAAAAGGGGGGCTAAAAGGGGGCTTTGGTCCAACCAACCGGCGAACGGAAAGCCAACTCGCTGATTTATGAAAGCATAGCGAAAGTTTCGCCCCGAGTCTTGCAGTTTAGCGCCTGGCAAGTGATAAACTGCAATGACTTTAAAGTTGCGACGCCGCGGGCTGCGATTCGCTTATTAGATTGTATTTGATGACCGTTGGAACCACCCATCCATCCAACTATCCAACCACCCACTTCCTTCGAGTGCAGCGAAGAGGGGAGAGGAATTGAACCTAAAAGGTCACCAGGGAGAAGCTGTGTGAATCAGCAGTGAGGAAATCGTGAGAAATCATTTTACATCAGATCAATTGAATTGGCTGGGGTACGACACTTAAGACGACAGATATAAAATTCCATATTAACTCCATGCGAACTATATTCAAAAGTACGAAAGGGATTTGTTATACCAATTACTCGAGCTGATTGATATCATCGGAAAGTAGAAGAAAATTTAAAAATCGGACCATTTAATCAAAAGTTATGAGTAAATAATGGTTGCGCGCTTGCAAGCAGTGCAAGCAGTCGCAGTCAAACTTCCCTCTTGTTTCAATATTAGTATCAGATGCAAATGTTTTGATCTTTTGGTAGCAATAAAGTTAGCATTAAGCACATGCTTAAGTGATTGCGGGTGAATTACAAGCCCTCCGAAATATAATGGTGACCCGATGTGTAAATTATTTACAAACCATTAAAGGGGCGTCCAGCTCTCGGCACTGATTCCCCATCGACCTCAAAGTAAACAGCCAAAGTGCTTGGCACTTTGCAAGCTAGCTGCTAAGATCGTCTCAAACGGTGACCTCAAAACGGTGACCCCGAACCGGAGAGAGAACCAAGAGCCAGAACTTTGCCAACTAGGAAATCTCATTAATTTAGTCATCTTACTGCTTTTGTAGTGCAAATGAGGCGGCACGGCACAAAGTTCACGTTCCTGCGGTGCCAGCAAAAGCCTCGGGGACCTCTTCTCGGACCATCCTATCACTGAAGTACACGGCAAGAAATCTCTATCGCCAGCTGTTGTGGGATTCCTTCAAATTTTATTGATTTATTTAATAATAAATTCCCCATGGCCAAAAGCAAATGCTTTTGCCGAAAAATGTGGCTAATTTGATTTGGGCGCAGTAAATCAGTAAATCAAATACGCATGTAAATGTCAGCTATTTATTAGTGGCTCTGTTTATTTCGAGGGCACAAATTAGCTGCAATTATCGTGTGTATATGACCGTTCATTTTTGCAATTGCAAAAATAGTTTTGGCTATTAAACAGACAAATAAAAAAATAGTTATGGTAATTGTAAAGGTTTTGTAGCCTTTAATTAGAGAGATTAAACTTTGTAATTATTAGACATAAAGCGAACTTAGTAAAAATAAAATTGTTTCTCAAAATATTAAAGATTTATTTAAGTTTGAATATAATTTTGAAAATTTGAGAACAATTTTGTCTTGAATTAAAGAAAATCGAATATATAGAATACGTTTTTGTTTATTATTAGACGTCGTATTATATGCAATATTTTGTTTGCATATAATCCAATGCCTATGGTTTATAAAATATTTCTTATGTGATTTAAGGCATATATTTGAACTAGAACCTTAAAATTTCTGATAAAATTATTTACAATTTAAAAGTCCAATTATTTTCTCTCTCTGCAGTCCATTCCCGATGGAACTTTCAGCGTCATTCCGACGACGGATGGACTTTGGGATGAGTGTCTGAGTGGGCGTGGGACTGCGTCTAGGGCCAGGACTCCATGACTCCTGGCATCTGGGCATCTCCAGGCATCTCCTGGCTCCTCTGGGCTCCTCCAGGTTCAATGTCCGCCCACTTTTGTGCGGTGCGGGATACGTGACAGGTGGCACCTGGAGCAAAATCCTCGGCGGGCACACCACCGTTCCACTTGAGTGCACTCCTCCGTGCGGCCCGTTTATGGAGGCCGCTGTCAAATTAATTGGCTTTTCCGGCTTCTCTCTTTAGCTTCGACTTGGACTTGGACTTGTAGTCATAGTCTATCGTCTAGAGTCTGGCCTGTGGTCGCTACTCCGCTCGACTTTTGCGACTTTTCTGGCTGACAAACTCATTTCCTCGAAAGTTGCGGTCTTCGATTTGGCCGGATGCCGGCTAGTCGACCGAATTGGGGACCTTGTCGTTTCGCTTGTTTTTTTCTACCCAGCATTTTTGGCCGGTATAAAATTGGGCCAGGCTAGGCGGCCAGTCTTTTGATCGCAGGACCCTCGCATCGCAAGGACCATCCATCCATGTCCAAGTCTTGAGTGCTGCCAAGTCCTTGAGTTGTTTTTAGACTGCCTCCAGCCACGTTTTGATTGCCTTGCCCTGCTCTTCTCCTCTTTGAAAAACGGGGGAAAAACACAATGCTTACCGGCTTCGCCAACTGAGTTGAGTTATTTTCGATCTCATTTTGCTCATTGCGATTGAGTTCTTTACATTTTGAGTGATTCTTTTCTAGAAATTTCGCACTCACTTTGAGTTAAGTTGCGTCCCAAAATTTCCCCTCCTTTTTGGGACTTTGTTGATAAGGGGTGGAAATAAAGGGAAATTCTGGCAATGGTTTTATGATATTTGACCAATTTACATATTTTTAAAAATAATATTCTAGCCTAATAATAATTTGTAAAAATTTACCAGTGCAAGACCCTGTTATTATATCTTGTAAGATGTTATTAAGGTTTTGAAAAATACGTTACTGGTCTTTAAATGTAGGTATATTTCTTTTGTATATTACAAAAATATTCTGAGATGATTACAAAATCCATCTATCGGCAAAATAACTTTATCATAACGTGTACTAAAACATCGGGTTAAAGTCTTTACTTACTTTACTGTACTGGTATACTTTTGTATAAAAAGTTATATAAATGTTTCAATTTATAAAAAAGATGAATGTACTAAAAAGTCGGGTTCGAGTCCTTGCTGACAAAGGCAGTGATATGTATAAGAGTTTTGTAGTATAGTAACTTTTCTAGAAAAATTAAAGGGGAAAATATGCAAAAACATATAAATAAATTTCAGGCTACAGAAAGATTTAAAAAAGACACATTTAGTCTTATTATTTTTTTTCTTTTTATTTTTCTTTTCAATATAAAACACCTTTCAAATAATTACACTTTAATAATAAAGAAACTGAGATGAGCTTTTCTTAAAACTTAAACTTTTTTACACAAAATGGGTTGCAAAAAAGGGAAAACAGGTGCTTTAGAACTTTTTAAATTTTATTATTTTTTTTTTTACAAATTTTTAAAAATTGTATTACTGTCAATTGATTTGATTTAGGTTTCTAAATTATTCTTACCATATTTTATGTTTAAACAAATAAACTGATGACCCTTAAGCGAATGCATCCGTAGTGAAAGTTTACCAGCAATCCTTATTTTAGAGGCACCTCCGCCTCCTATTCTTCTTTTTCTTAAATGCGAAACAGGAAACGACCTTGAGTGCGTGGACCGAACTTCCGGTTTTGGGGGAGGTCTCGGTCTCGTCCCTGTCTGCAAAATCTTCACCAGAGATCCCAAGAGCGAGGATAATATTTTCCTGCTTCCTGGCCTTCTTCTTCGTCTTTTTTGTTTTTGTTGCATGTGCCGCGGAAACGGAAGCGGAAGTAATACGCCCACACACAGTGAAAGCCAGGTGGCATTGAATTTAAGCTAGTAAGCTGGCAAGCTGGAAAGCTGGCAATCTGGCAAGAGTTCATCAAGATCTCGTATCACATTAACTGGGTCATGGAATACCACATTTTTACGGTCGCATCCTCGCCGACCCCCCTTTACCCAAAAAAGCCGGGATATTAAGTGTGAAGGCGGTCTGCGGTATTAAAACTTTTTCAATTATAAGCGCTTTTACCCCAGATAAAGCAAAAGAAATTAAAGAGGTTCGCAACTTGTAGTACCTCTTAATCGCCAGTGACCATTCAGGCTACAACTTTTACCGCATCCACTTAACATCCCTTAGTTTCACAACCTTGAGGAACAAAGTCAATAATTTCTTAGTTTAAATCGTTGCTAATCGCACATTTTAACCTGGATTATATACCCCCGAAAACTCCGACGAGGGTACTAAAAATTACCTTAGAGACCGCATCAGATTTCAGAGATTTCACCGCTTTGTCGCACATGTCGGCTACGTTATTTAATTGAGTATTTCATTTGACATTCACTGTTGCATTTATGTTTATGACTGCCTTTCGAATTTATTTCACAACAAATTTAAATTTACATTTTCTTGTACTTTTCACCAAGAAAGTCGGATGAAACTAGAAACTAGCAATACCATCAGTTTCTAAAGAATGACCACCAGTTTTTCTGGGTTTAATCTGAAGCATAAGAATAAAGTTAAATTGTGAGGATAAATTCACAGGACATTTCTCCGCACTTCCGAGCTGCCATTCCGGGGTCGCATTACAACGTGGACACTGAGCACATAATGCAGGGTCACAAATCACGTGTCAGTGGTTGAGTGGTGCACAGAAAACAAATGTTTATTATATAGAGATTTTTAAAAAATAATATAAAAGCACAAAAAAATTATGTGGTGCACAGAAAAAAAAACATTTCCTATGTGCGCTACTATGATTAATATAATGACTTTAAAAACACCCAAATAAAATGTATTCGTCTTATAAAATATTATAAACTTAAAGCTAGATCTTGAAATATATTCGCATTCCGAAATTTATCTAAATATATTGAGAAAATATCGGAAATATCGATAATTTTCTAGCTCTAATTAAGGCACTAGAATCAAGCAGGCAGCTCCAACTCTTTCCGAGCATCGAAACAAAACGGTGAAACAGTGTTTCCCCCGTCCCCAAAAAACATCAGCCAGCATATATATTTGTGAAATACAAAACCCCGAAAAATAGAACAAATTGGATGATGGCCGGTCGGCAGGTGGAGGTGGCCAGTGATCAGTTATCCACCGGTGGCAGTTGTGGTGGGGACCCAGCTGGGACCAAGTTGGGATTCCTGACCCGTTTGGACCGACTGCTCCGCCGCTGGCTCCCAGGATACAGTTTCATTCGCGGCAAGCGCCGTTCGCCGTCGGAAACCTCGATGGCCGGCGGCGGAGGAGGCCAGCAGAAGGCACAGGGACTCAGAGGAGGCAGGAGGAGGCAGGTGGATGACAGGAAACAGGAGGTCTATCTGGACACTGGCATAGCCAAGTCTGAGTTCTGCGTCCAACTGGAGACCCTGTTGCGCCAGAAGCTGCTCCAAAAGCAGCAGGCATTGGCATTGGAGCAGCAGGAGCGACGGAATAACGAGCACCCATAGATGGCCATTCCTTTTTTCATTTCTATACATATGTATTCGTTATATATTTTTCATACCATCCATCAATCAATCAATCGAGGCGCCTCATTAAAATTAATTAGAAATAATGACCGGCAAAACCAAGAGTTGTCTGTTTTCCCCACAAAAGAGATTCCCCAGGGAAACCTTTTCCACTTTCCCTCAAAAGCAATTGTTGCCTAATGCTAATCAGTCAACAACAACAATTTAATCGCTTATAATTGCCAAGTGCAGAGAAGCGATGGTAAAGGTCAACTTTAAAATACCCTGAAAAAATAAATTTAAAAATTATTCCTACATAATACATTTATTTTTGGAAAAGACCACTGCTTCTTTAAAATACCCTGAAATTACATAGACTGTTTAACTTTTATTTATAGCTTAAATACATTTTGCATTTTTTGCTAGTTAATATATTTATTTTTGGAAAACTCTACAAATAAATATTTTATTTATTTACAGGACAAAAGGACAAAAAGCTGAGCTCCAGGTGAGTGAAGATCTTTATAAGCACTTGAAGAATCGATTTAGTATTTGTCAATTACGATATTCTCAATGGGTTCGACAACAATTATGTGCGTTATTCAGTTTGTTGAAAGGGGGGTCGTAATGCCAAAAGCCCTGCTAATGTCCATGGCATTAGCATAGGGTCTCTTCTATACTCTCCACAAAGCCCTCAACCGCTAAACTCCGAGCCCCACTCATCATTCTCAGCATTCGAAACAAAAACATAACGTTTACGCACTGCAAACCAAACAGTACGAAGTGTATCTAAACATGTGTGAGTGGCTGAGTGGGTAAGTGGGGAGGAAGGGCGGAAGGGGCGTGTCTGTCCTAAGGGATGGCATCATAATTTTGCTGGCCAAGCACTTGAGCACTTGACCATTAACGTAACTTTTGTCTACGTAGCTTTCTCAAATACACAGAGGGAAAAAAATGAAATATATTTAAAACATAATAATCTTATAATCCTAAAGAATTCGCGGTTCAAAATTTTTAGCTAAATTTAAAATAGATAGGTACATTAAAATACAACATAAATTTACAAAATACAAATTACTTGTCCCACATCTAACATTTCAACTTAATAATATCTGATAGTCCTGAAGAATTCGCGTTTTTAAAAATAAATAGAAATATATTAAAACACAACATAAATATGATAAATTGCCCCACATTTAAACAAACACAAATCCCAGATATTCTTTCTCGAAAAAAATAACAATTTGAGACATTTTTGTATGTGCACGAGCTCACATTGTTGACAACTAAGGGGTTTTGATGGGGGGATGATGGTCCGTCCGGTGGTCAAGTGGAGTATTCCGGGAACGAACCGCAGCTGGACCGCAATCTGTTCAGCTCAGTTCAGTTCAGTCATTCCCCCGGGTTTGGGTTCCCTTTCAATATTTGTGCTCTCGTCGTTGGCAATCGGGGATGTCAACAAAAGTGTTGTCCTACATAGAAGCGGAAAATGTTCGAAGGGGAAAAAATCGGGAAGGAAAGACGGAAAATCGGTTGCCAGGACCAACAGCGCAGCGCAGCTAATATGCTAATTTATTTCTCGGAATGGTAGAAAGTTGAGTTGAGTTGGGAGAACTGGGATAACGGCCGAACAAGGCGAAACCCTTGAAGTGGCCAAAATGAAAAGCTAAGTGGTCCACATGTTTCATAATATGTCATTCCTGGAAACCGAGACTTCATTTTTAATTTTTGTTTTAATTTTGAAGTGCACTTGGAATACCAACCCTCCCAATAATAACAATTCGTGGAATCTGTTTTGTAATATCATTTTATTTATACTTTCGTTTTATTTTGGTTTTTTTTTTGGATTTTCGATTCGAAATTTGGATTAAAATTGTAAATTGTAAATTACATTAAATTGTTCGTTCAATACTTAAAAAACTTTCGTATTAGCGAGCATTAGTTTTGTTATTTTTTCCTGCTCTACGGCAGCAGCAATAATTGAGCAAATATTTCCTAAATAAATAAATGTATTCCATATTATACGATGCAAGTCAAAAATCGTAAGAGAAAATGGGAAATAACACGGGAGAGGGAGAGCTAAGGGGTATGGGGTATATATATATATATTTATAAGGATGGGTTCAATAGGGCGGGCTTACAAAACACATTTACAGAGGCGTCTTCAATGATATGTCTTGAAATATATATGTATTTGTGCTGTTAAGTTGGATAATCCCATGGATAAGTTATCTTTATTGGTTACAAGCTAAAATTAGTTTTGATTTCCAATTGGACTTGAGTGGAAAGGTAGATTTTAGATCGCGATTTTAAAATTGGAGTTAGTTTTTCTCATATATCGATGTAAAGTAAATCGTTTATTGGTTAAGTTTGTTTGCAATTCGATTATTCAATAGGCTATATATATTTAATAATCATTTCAATTTGATTAGCTGTGCGTGCTCTCAATTTCTCAATTTAAATGTAATAAATTTGATGAGTTATCAGTTTAAACTGTTTGGCTAATGCTGGTCAATCGATTTCCTATCGATTAACTATATGGCTTAGTAGTCGAAAAAAGTCGATAAGAAATAAGCGATACCTTTCGAGTCTTTTGTCGTTCGATTATTGATGAACATCCTTAGCGGTTCACATTATTGCAGGTCGACCATTTGTGGCTCGAGTATCGAATTAATTTATTATTTTTATTAACTGTTACTTTAATCTGTCTGTAATCGTAATCGATTAATATGGACATGTAACGAAGTCGATTATCGCTTAGTCGTAGCTGAGAGAAATCGCCGATTTCGGTGTGGGTAGCGGCGATGTGGTATTCTCCTCCTCGTCGTCGTTTTCTTGCGAATCCTCCGGTTCCCCCAAAGCGTGAACAAACTCGTAGAAATCGATGCGCCCATCGCCATCCACATCGACCTCCTTGATCATGTCCTCAACTGGATTTGTTAAGATGGAATTAGGGCTATATGGGATTAGGGATAAAGGCAACTTACTATCCTCCTCGTCGAGATCTTCCCCCAAACACTGTAGTACCGCGCGCAAATCGGAGGCCGTAATATAGCCCCGATTGTGCTTATCGAAAACGCGAAAGGCGTCGCGCAATTCCCGCTCCTCCTGATCGGCGGAGGAGAGACCCGACTTGTCTTCATATGTCATGTTCGACAGGATGTCAACGAACTCCTCGAAACTAACATTGCCATCGCCTGAAAAGAAATACATATGGGATGGAATAACTTTACTACTATTACTACTACTTTACTACTTTAGAACACAGTTTCTATATTTTATATACCCGATTTGCTAAAAAAGTAAGTGCTGTTTGTTGCTTTAATTTATTTCTATCAAAATGTAGAAGAAAATGTTAAAATCGGACCATTTATTAAAAAGTTATAAGCAAATAATGGTGAGTGCATGCAAGCAGTGCAAGCAGTCGATTTACGGCTTGCACTCCCTTTAGCTATTTTGTTTGTATTTTATTATTTATATATTCCTTACCATCCACGTCGATCTCCTGCAACATCTCCTGCAGCTCCTCGACCCTGGCAAATTGGCCCAGCGATCGCATGACTGTGCCCAGCTCCTCCTTGGTGATGCAGCCATCGCCATCCTTGTCGAACAGCCGAAAGGCCTCGCGGAATTCCCGCATCTGTCCCTTGGAGATGCAGCGGCGCTTGTCCATGGACTCGCCCTCGATCAGGTTCGTCCCATTGCCTGGGTAACCCATTCCCGTTACCAATTCCAAATCCGACGAGGCATAGGATATTTGACGTTGGGTTTTCGTCTTGCGTCTGCTGCGGACACTCAAGGCGGTCTGGGGATGAGGAGAAGGACGCGGACGACGACGACGTCCTCCTCCGATTTTCGAGGACTGTTCGTAGTCGTCGTACGACTCTTCCTCCTCCTCGTAATCCTCTTCGCCCTCGTCCTCCTCCTCCTCCTCGTCGTCGTAGTCGTAGTCGTCGTCCAGTTCCTCCTGCTCCTCATGAAGGTTGCTCTGTGCGTAGCTGACCCGCGTGCTCCTCCGCTGACCCACTTTGATGCCCTCGCAGGAGCTGGAATCCGTGTCCGCATCCGGATCTGTTACAATGGCAGCGCTTCGTTGCTGTGGTTGCTTACTCCTTCGCGGCCTCTGACGGCGCTGCTCAGTCGAGGATGGCTGAAGGTGGCCATCGTCGGCTGGCTGCCCGACAACCTGATCCTCCGACTGATCCTGATCCTGAAGCTGAAGCTGGCTGTTCTGATCCTCCCCCTCGGCGCCATCCGCTGCTGACGTCTGCTCCTCGTCGGGTTCATCGCCACTCACCGCCGCGTTTCTCGTCTATAAGAAATAATAAATACATATCTTAAAGATTGAGACTTAAAAAGGAAAGATTTTGTTATAATCACTATGGACGGCAGTCCATGTAGTGACGAAGCGCACCAGGAGAGTGTGCGAAGGCGACTACTATATATACACGAAGAAATGAAAATCTACTGTGATGGTCCCATCATAATGAATGATACACCTATCGAAAGGTATTGCGAAAACTAACAGGATTGCACACCAAGACTTTAAGAAAATCAATTGGCTTGGGAGAGAGAGCGGTGAAAGTGAAAAAGTGAAAATTTCGAAATTTGGAGCTGTTGGGGCCGGTGGGGATAAATGCCCCCTCGCAATGTTTTAGTTTTGTTCCTATTGAAAATATCCGTCGAATGAGGGGTCATATGATAAAATCCGATGCTCCGTTCAAAAGTTATAGCCAAAATAAGATTTTCTTCTTCTTCCCAAAATGAAATAATTTGTCCCTTTGTTTGTGGGTATGCATCAAATCCTGGCTTTAGGATCCTGAACTAAATTTTACTCTGCTTAGCAGCAGGATATGAACAACGTTTGTTCTACAACTTTTGTAAAAACCCGCTAGTTTGGCGGGAAATCATTGAAAAAAGCTAGATTTTGACGGCTTATAGTTTCTAAACGACTAAAGCTACAGACTCGTGCTATACCTCGTTAAAAAGGTAATTTAAAATGCTAATCGCGTTGCCTTGGGTAAAATTGGCTTAATGCAATAGTTTAAAATTTATGGCTAAAAGTTGTTTTTTTAAATCACTTTTTAGCTATTTTCTCAAAAACGGCTCTAACGATTTTCTTTACAACTTTAAACTGTATAGCCCTTGAGATTCCCTAAATTTTGGTATATAACACATTACTGTAAAAAGTCACGTTTAAAAGTTATTTTTATACGAAAATAGCCACTTTTGCCAGCTCGAACAACTAACGCTCCCTGAGTATTGAATTTTGTGTGAGGGTATACGAACTGTATTTTGGGGTCATGGAATTAGTAAATTTGCACTTAAGAGTTCCATATAGGAATCTTTTGTTCTACGACTTTTGGAAAAAGCCGCTACTTTAGCGGGAAAAAAGCTAAAAATAGCAAAATTTCGTTAGTTTTTAAGTTCTACACTACTAAAGGTACAGAAATGTGCTATACCTCGTTTTAAAGGTATTTTGAAATACTTAAACGCCTTTTTAACTTAATTTGTTTAAATACAATGGCTTACAAATTATGATTGAACAATTTAAATTTAAATGTATATACAAGCTCCCATGAGAGCAAATGTAAACAAACAAAAACTTCTGATATCAAATAAAAACACCTCTTAACGAGGTAAAAAACTAGTGACGATCGCACCTTCAACATACAAAAGTTCTGATATCAACATTTGTGACGAAAAATTATTACACTCGTCATTGAATAGACTTTCTAATATTTTCTCATTCGGCACGCTGCAATAGAAAATGCCTGTAAAGGGAAAAAGGCTGGAATAGTTTGCTAGGGCGGGCCGAATGAGAAAATATTAGAAAGTCTATTCAATGACGAGTGTAATAATTTTTCGTCACAAATGTTGATATCAGAACTTTTGTATGTTGAAGGTGCGATCGTCACTAGTTTTTTACCTCGTTAAGAGGTGTTTTTATTTGATATAATATTATTTTGATATGATATCATTTTGATATGAATAAACATTATATTTATCTTATTTTACATTTATAAAGAAATACTCTTGCTTGGCCTTAAATGAAATACTAAATATAATTAAATTTATGTTTATTAGTAATTACAAAGAAAGGGTTGCTTTCCCATTCATTTTCAACGCCATAAAATTTGCATATTTTTTACTAGGGCGTCAGTTGCAAAAAAAGAACACAAAGTCACAACTAAATAAATAATCGATTAGCATATTAATTGCTTTTAATTTCTCATTTGTGCTTCCCCCCGCACACAATTATTCTAATAATAACAATTATTGAGTTAAAATTGTAAATAATATAGGCCATGAAGTTTATAGACTTTTTTTATATTTATGTAAATATTATTATTAGATGTATTTAATTGCGTTCAACATGTCGGTTGCACTCACCATTAGCTGGCGGAACTCGCGGGCAATTGTTGAACCAGTTAAAAATTTATTAACTGCCGTGAAAAGCCGTTTTCCTTCCAACGTGGCGGCCTTCCTCCCGCTTCAGGGGATCTGCGGCAAAGAATCCTCCTCCTCCGCCTCCTGTAAAGGAGCTTCAACCGCTTTCGGTTCGCAGGATATGCAAATTCCAAATCGAACGGCTGCCTGAAAAGTGGAGGAGAAACCAGGGGGGGCATATGTTAATTAAGCAATTAAGGATTGAAAGCCATTTGCATAGTGGACACGTCCACAAATGTCGGCACCAAAGAGCCAACGTGACCGCTGCCCCCTACACGGGAAAAAATATTATATAATAGAACTTTTCGATATGTAGACTCTACATTGTAATATCAAAATTACATTCTTTCCAGCAGAGAACAAAATTATCCACGTCGGTTATCTTTTTTCATAGATACAAATTCCCCTACACTGGGAAAAAATATAATATAATATACATTTTTGATATGTAGATTTTACATTATAATATCAAAACAAAATTCTTTCCAACAAAGGCACCACTTCATTTAAAGGGGATGAAAGTTACATATATAAATAATAAATTATCCGCGTCGGTAATCTTTTTTCAAACCAATACCTGCTAATATAAAATATCATATGATGGGCTGTTTTTTTTTAGCCGTGCATATCCATTCACATGGAAATCCCCATCCAGTTCAAAATCAAAATCAAAATCCCTGCAGCGCAGCTGACTGAATAGTATAATCAGTCTAATAATCCATTTGATTGGCATACATTCATGTCACTTGTCATTGGACGCCGAAGGAGTGAGAGCGCGAACAATAATGGCATCAATTGCCTGTCAGCGTTCCGGGGAAAAAACAGACGCAGTCAGGAAATAAATGCCCAAAAGCTCCTTTTGTGGCACCACAATGTTTCCAATAAAAATGTTTGAAAAAAAATCAAAATTTCTATATTTTTCAAACTCTAATGTGAAGTTCCGTAAAGTGTTAAAAGGCTTTAAAGTTGGAACCTACATTAAATATTAAATGAGGCTTCTATAGTTGTATTTTTTTGCCCTAGTTAAATTTAAAAAATTTGTCCGAATATTAATCGATTGATTAACTTTCGATTATTTCGATGGTATTTTCTGGAACTACAGATGCTTCTCTGTTTAAACGATTTACACATTGCCTCATTTAAATACAGTAATTTTTTGCGAATTTAAGCCCATTTAGTGGTGGCATTCAAATAAAATTTAAATAATTCCACCGGCTTCGCGTGAGTGAAGTGCAAAAGCGGCCAAGGCGCTTAATGCCGGGAATTGGGATGGCAAGATGGCAAAAAGGATGGCGCAATCCGATTATCGCTGTGGCCAGGACATCAGGAAAGGACATCACTGCACAGCGGACAGCCGGGGGAGTCGTCCTCTTTGGAGGCATTTATCGGCTCTTCTTTTTCGCATTCGCTTTAAAATTGCATTTCGATGGCCTGTGTGCATAGCATATTTTTTTCATCTCGCGGAAGCACAAGCACAGCTGGAAAGGAAGGATGTGGTGGCCGGTGGCCAGTGGCAAACGAAGCCACACACATACGGGTGAAAACCGCAATAAAAATGCCCCAAAAAGGAAGTGCCAAGGCGAGAACAAGGACACCCCAGGTGGCCAAGGACATTTGACAGCAAGCACAGCAAACACAGCTTACACACTGCCAGCATTTTCACATTTAAATTGAAATTCTCCTTCGTTCCTTGCTTAAATCCTAGTTCGAATTGCGCACGTACGCATATTTAATTAACATTTAACGTTAACGTTGTCCATTAAGACGAATGGAACAATGGCAATGGAAAACTGCAGTAGCAAAGCTGGGGAAAACTGTGCTAAGCCATTTGCATCCAAGACGAAGACGAAGAAGATCCCTTGAACATCATCATCCCATCAGTAGTCCATTCCATGTCAGCGGTTTATCGTCCTAGGTGTCGTTCCAATTTTCTTACTTCCCGAGACATCGAGGTGATGGGTGAAAAACGAACAAGGCATACTGAGAAAAAAACATATGCCTTTGAGGGAAAATTTTACAAACTCTGTGGTATATATTTAAAGTAAAAATATAAATGCCATATATGTTTATAAATACCTATTGAAATGTAAATTGAATTTTTCAAATCGGACCATTCGTTCAAAAGTTATACAGTTATTCTAAATAATGGAATGCAGGCAGTTCAAGCAGTTTCTTTGCTACTTGCATATCTTCATTAGCTTTTTAGCTAAACTTTTAGCCTATTCTTTTCAGTGTTCCATTTCATCGTTTTCTATTTTTCCAACATCGCTTCTCTGGCTTTTCCATTGCTCTGCAGTCGCGTGCAAAGTTTCTGACATGAAATAAATGAAGACACAACTTTCAACCCCCCGTGTCTCGCCCTCTAATTTAGCCGCTTTCCCCTATTTTACTTTTACCACTTCTAACATTTTCCCATCCATCCAGGCGACAAATGCGTTGCTCTGCATAACTTATTCAATGTTTGCCAGTTGCCAGTTGGTCCTCCTCAATGAGGAGGTTCGCAAGGAGCAGGCAAATTTTCCAGCTGGCTAATCAACGTTTGACAAAGTAAACAAAAATATAATGCTTAAAGTTTTTAATAGATTTCAGAATCAACGAAGAAAGGGGGGATAATTTGAGGGATTTAGAGATTGACCAGTGTGCCACAGGGCATTTGCTCTAAAGGAATTTTGATATCGAAACTTCTACACAGAAAAAATTATGATTTTGGTATGCATGAACATTATCTTATTCTACATTATTTATTAAAAAAAAATACTACATTTCGGTATTTTAAAATAGTATATTTATAATTTTTATGATAAAACTGATATGATAAAATATCTAATTGATGTTTGAATCATAAATTTTTTAAAATAAGGTAGAATTTACCCCTACGTCATATAGAACTTTTTTTCTGTGTGGCTAAAATTTCGAAAGACAAAGAAGAGGCCTTTTAAAGTGGAAATCGCTCTCATTTCGAGAAATCGCCTTCACCACCCTTCATTTGACCACTTTGTGGCAAACATTTAAGCACTTTGTCGAAAGCGAAAAACAGCAACCGCAAAATGTGTTCGGCGCGCATTTTATTGTTTAATTTAAATTGTTGGGCTGCGGGAAATGGTAAATGAGGAGGAAAATGGAGGTGGGCGGTGGGTGGTAATAACCGCGTGACCGCAGGCCCTGTAAACGGATAACACAGCGCCCCCATGCAATCAATTAAGGCGAAAAAAGGCATAAAAAAATGGTTGAGGGGGAATTTCATTTTTGCAGGCTCCGAAATTCTCGCCCTGCAGTTTTCCGTTTTCCGTCCTTTTGGCGAAATTGTCATACGCTGCGTATGCGTTATATTTGCATTCCAATGAATGGGAACTCGGCTGCTCCTGCATGTGTGTTTGAATGTGTGAAATGGTGGCCAACGAACACACACACACAATTCGTATATAAAAGTGGCAACAAAAAAGTTTACGCATAAATCAAGCAAAAGCAAAGAAAATAAAACAAAACAAAGCCAAACAAAACAAGAAAGACGAGTCCTTTTTGCTTCTTTCTCTCTGTTTTCGTTCATTTCGCCTGCACGTAAATATTTCGTTGGCAATAAAAAATTTAACAACGCAAACAGGCCAAAAAAGCGAAGAGCAGTCACAACACAAACAAAGCAATTTACGATATGTGGGAAGAAAAAGCGGAAGGAACCTTAGAGATGTGTATCCAATCAAACATCGAGTATTGATTAATTAAAAAAAAGATTGCGAATATTTTTGATTAATTAAAAACATTTAGAAAAGTTATTCAGTCAAATTTCGGACATATTCGAAAAATATTCCTAAAGAATTCGCGTAAAGTAACAATCCAAGGTGGAAATTTCGAGGAGACGATTCAAATATCGATTAAACCGAATAATATTGGTCAATTAAAAAAAATTACGACCAAATGAATAACTTAAAAACATTTGTCAAGATAGTTAGCTATCGAATTGACTTAGGTTTTAACAAATTCAAAAAGAATTCAAAATATTCCTAATGAATTCGCATAAAATGTGAATACTAGGCGGAAAATTCGATGAGAAGAATCCGCGTCTTCCTCATTTACCTCAAGATCTCAACATAGCGTGCCCCAAGCGTCGGTGGCTTACCTTTCTCCGCCTTCTTTGCCCCGCTCCTTACATAATTTATGTGCCACATGCCGCTTGCCACATGTGCAAAAAGACCAACTAAAGTGCCATGAATGAATATGCATGATAATCAAGTGGCGACGTTGTGGTCCACCCATTTGGGTTCTCTTTCTCTCACGCAGGACTAACACCCTAATGCCATTCCTTTCTAACACACAGGACCCATTAACTCGGGATGAGTGCACAAAGCGTAGCATACTTTTGAGGGCCACTCTTGGCTGTGTTGACAATTAAGAAATTCTTAAGCCCAAAAAACAGTTGAATATTTGGAAAATTGCAATAATATAAATTCCATAAATTAAAAGGCACTATCTTAAAGAGCATTTCAATAGGATCCTTTTAATTTGGATCTTTATAAATTGGATCTTTATAAATAGGTTCTTTATAAGTAGTATTTTTTAAAATATTTCAAAATATTTTCATTGCAATTTATAAATAGAATCTTTATAAATACAGTCTATTTATTGGATTTATATATGATTTTTGGCGTATGTAAAATAAACTAAAAATTACCTGTAAATTCGGTTATTGGGTAAACAAAATAGCCAAATTCCGAATCTAAACTCTCATTTCTGACGAAGACTTTCGGTTCTTTGTTTAGTTCGTTAGTACAGCAGAGCCCGCATTCACATATTTGTCTGTTCGTGACATTTGCATACGACTTATGAGCCTTTTGACCAGTTCAAAACCCACCGCCCCCCGCCCATTTTCCCCGTGGAATTGCAATAAATTTTACTTTTACTTGACTTGTGCAGTCGCCGCAATTGGCCGAAAAACTTGACCACCAGGGTCCCAAACTTTCTCTCTCACGAACTTTTCCCCCAAGGAAAATGTAAGGCAAAGGCAAAGAAAAAGCACTGAGGGGGAAATTCAATTGATTCAAACTAAGGACTTGCGGAATGCGCAAACAATTAGCCCCAAAGACGAAAGTTTCAGGCCAAAAAAAGTTTGACGCAGCTGCTCGACTGCTCGATATCAAAAACTTGGCCTTTGTGGTGGCTTCGAAAAATTGGGGGAAATGCCGTGGAAAGTTAAGCAACACAAGGAAATTGCATCGCATTCCCTGGACCCCCAGAATGAGAAATGACTTCGATCAGCGCGCCACATTCCCTCCTCCTCAATTCCACATAAATTACACTTTGGCAAGCTCACTTTTTAATTTAACTTGGATCAGAAAACTTTCTTGTCTTTAGCTTGCCTGCTATGTCAAAAATAATCTTTGTGAATTTAAATCTTTTCTTTTCCTTTAAGTCTTTTTTTTTCGTGTGATTTAAACACAATATTTATTTGAAGACATTAAAAGAAAATCATAAGATATAATTCACAACCGTTCCTTTTTTTTGGCACAACGTGGAGATCTTTCAAACATCTTAAAACTATGAACTTCTTTGGCTTTGGATGGCGATGTTTTGGTGTGTTTGGATGGAATTCAGGCATTGTTTTGGTAATGAGTTAACGACTTAAAGTCGATCTACAATGCGTAGCAAAGCTATGTAGTTCTTCAGAGTTAACATGAAAAAAAAGAAAATAAATTAAATTAGTTTACATTTTAGAAATAATAATAAATAACTGATACTCTTATACTTATTCAACAGAGTTCTTTTACAATTAAATTTGTACTACTAATGATCACATTTCTAATAAATAACAGAGTATCGAGTGTAAATGGTTAAATTGTTGAATTCATATTCATTAATTCAACAATTTTACCGTTTGGGTAATAGCCCAAATATAACAAATAGTTAAATATTTCGACTTGACCACTCACAGCCGACAAGGAGCAACGTGGACCAGGAACAAGGCGCAGTATCTCATCGCTCATTAGCGACCACTTAATCACATCGTTCTTGATGGGATTGCGGAGCTCCTCCTCGATTTCCTCGATGGTCATAATATTCTGCTCATTGAATATGGCCTGTGGGATCTTGGGTTTCAAGAGCGACTCGCTTTTGTTTTCCGCCTGCTGCTTGGGAAGGTCAATCTTAGTTGGCAACTTGATTGGAGGAGAACTTGGTTTCGGCTTGGGCGTGATGTTTATCGAACTGAGTTTAATCACATTTCCCGAAGCCAACATTTGGTTTATGTTCATCAGTGCTGAATGTGGTTTGGCCTGCTGTTGGATGGGCCGAAGAACGCTTCTCTGTGGTGATTTAAAAATAATATTTCTGGACTCTACGTAAGTCGAAAATCGTCTCTTCGGAATTCCCTTACTATTAGAAGGTATGAGAGCATTATTCCTGGGCTCTGCGATCGAAAGTCGTCTAATCGGAATCGCCTTAGTAGTAGAAGGTATAAGAGCATCCTTCCTCGGCTCTACGAAAGTCGAAAGTCGTCTTATGGGCATCCCCTTAATTTCCTTAGCTGGATGTTTTGGAATGGTCCCCAGAAGCGGAGGAGCCCTAAAATCAGACACATTCTCGGATACATCCTCATTATTCCTGGGCTCTGCGATCGAAACTTGTCTGATAGGAATCTTCTTCATATCAGAATTTATAAAAGTATCTTTCCTGGGATCTACGGAAGTCGAAAATCGTCTCTTCGAAATTCCCTTAATATCAGAAGGTATAAGGGCATCCTTCTTGGGCTCTACGAAAGTCGAAAATCGTCTGGTGGAAATTTTATCCTTAATTTCAGGTGGATTGGGATGTTTTGGAATGGTCCCCAAAAATGGGAGAGCCTTAGTATCGTCACATAATGACTGATCGACTTTTTTCAGACTGAAATTAGGAGCAGCACTCTGAGGTTCTTTAGTTCGAGTTTTTGGAAGATCATTGACAGTTTTTATCAATTTTGGAGGTTCTTGAATGGGCCTAGGAACTGGACCTTTAAAATCAAAAACTTCCTTGCTTTTCCTCAATTTTGGAAGTTGTTTTGGGGGTTCGCCCTGAATGGGCCTAGGAATTGGACCCTCAAAATCAATTTCGTCTTCTTCTGGAGCCGCCAATGTCTGATCGTTGATTTTAATCAGTGGTGGAGGCGGATCTTTGTTTGGACTTGGAGATTCAATTACGAAATTAACACGCTTGGCAGTTTTATTATCCGGCACAATACTGTAATTTCCATCTGAATCTTTAACGAACCTAAGAATACGGTTCTCGGGTATATTATAAGATCCGTCCGGCGACTGTTTAAGACCTTCTGAATCCATGTTGCTTAAAAACTAAAAAGAAAATAAAGTAAATGAAAAGAAATGAGAATGATGAAATGAATGAGTAAATGTTTGGGATGGTTAAAGCAATAAAAACAAAGCCCTGGGAAACACACACAATTTGGGATTCATTTATCACAAATTACTCGGGAATAAGCTAAATGGGGCCCAACAGATGACAAATTAATTGTGGAAGGTCCTGTGACAACCTTGAATACCCCAAAAACATATGAAAACACACACACAGGACAACTTAAAGCGTTTACAACAAACAAATGAAACTGAATGGGCGTGAAAGATGATAAAACAAGATTACCTTTTGAATACCCTACAAGTGTTAGTTGTTAAAGGAAAAGTATAAAACACATATTTCCACTTATAAACAAGGAAAACTATAAATCAGGTTTTAAGTTTACTTACATAAGTTTAAACCGATTTCTCAATGTCCGGTTAGGGCTGTAATTGTTTTTTCGTCAGGGAAAGTTAACATTAACTTAAAGCAAGCTAAATGAATACTAAAAGCTTACATTGCATTGAAAAATCAACTCTAAATGTTGAAATATTAAAATATTTACCAATACACTTTAACTGAAGGTTAGCGGGCCTTTAGTTTCTTGAACTGTCTCATGAAATTGGCATACCCTGAGCATTAAAGTCCTGCGTTTGAGGCGAGAAAAGCACAGAGGATTGCGAAATTTTCGGTATGCTCCCCATGCATATGCATATATGAGGGGCCCCGCCCTTTTTTTTATTTCCACCTCCCTTAACCCCCCGCGCGTCTCTCGCGTTTTGCAATTTAGATGTTTATCCCCCGTTGTTGCTCCTTGTTTTGTTGGTTTTACTGTAGCTGTTGCTTTTACGGTGCCTTCCCTTTGTATTTTCTCAGTTTTTTGTTTGTTCCTTGTTTTTGGGAGACAGGACAGGACAGACTTAAGCCTGTTATTCAGTGCTCTTTTTTGCGACGACGACTACGTCACCGGCCTCGACACTTAACCCTCACCATGCCTTTTAACCCCTTCTTTTGCAAGCTAAATTTACATTTCGTTCGCTTCATCTATTTTACGTATTCATCGCGCACATTTACATGCGTTTTATTATCTACTCCTCGGCTCTCGCAACTTGTTATTTGTTGCGTTTACATATTCAAAGGTTCACATTTTTTGGCAAGTGGATTTGCTTTGCTGGCTTTTCCCTTTCGTGGCTCTGGTTCTGGGTCCTTTGGCTTATTTTAATATCAACATATTTATGATGTGTTTGAGTTTGAGCACAAAGAAAGTCAGACAGACGGGCAGGCAGGGGGATGTGTGGTGTGGCACTTGAAGACCTTAATCGGTGTGACAGCTTCAGAGGGTTTCGTAAAAATGATTACAACAACCATAACTCAGATGTCTATTGGGGAGTGTTCTTTGAAAATGCCGGCCAGCTCTGGAACTGACATTTAACATTTATTTTAATTTATTTGAAGCATTGCATGATTATGATTTCAGATGTTTCTCTGGGATATTTTCGTTAAAAGACTCTCTTATCTCAGATATCTTAAATATCTTTCAATATATACATTATTTTCCCTAGTTTCATATCGATCATATGATAGGATATGAAATTTTGAATAAAAGCCATTTCTATTGCTAATACATTGTTTTCTCTAGTTTCATAACAATCATTTGTTTGAAAGCCAAGTTACTTGGGTCTATTTTCGGGCTTAGCCTAACTTTAAGCTCTAAACTTTAAACTATTCATTATTCAGGCCAACAGGTGAGCAGAGCAGCCGGCCAAAAATGTCAAGTGGCCATTCCTTATGCATGTAAATCTCCAAATCCCCAAGTGCAGTCACTTGGCACGGCCTTTTGTCATTCCCCTCATAAATTATAAACAAGGAATTTCCATTTCCACGCCAAGTGGCTTGGCTGACAACTTGTGACTTGTCTTGACTTCGGGTTGAGTGACTGGCTGACTGACTGATGAGCAGCTCGAACGGCGGAACTCCTGAACCTGGTACCGAATCTGATCCCGAGAGTAGGAAATTGGGCCATTAGGAGGCCATCGACAATCCACTTCCATATCATCAACTTCGACCTCAACGAGGGAGAGCCAATTAATTTGTGCTCGCCTCAAAAATTACCAAGGATGCAAAGATGATGGGCAAACATTGCGGCCGGAATTTGGGGACGGAGGATATTTTATGGAATGTGTGTCGGGTGTGTGGGTTTTTGGGTTTGGATATGTGGATATTCTGTATTTTGCTGATGCAACACGATAGGAGAACAGCAGTTTATGCCAGCCAATAAATAATCGAAGGGATGTTTGGCAAATTGCTGCAATTTCCTCAGCCCACCGATATATGATAAGGCACAGGCAATTGTGTGAATCCATATTAAAACAGATAACCGATAGCTAAACGATGGAAAACAAGAAGGAATTCCTCGACTATCAAAAACCCGTAAGTGTGAAAGAGATGGAGATATGCTAGCAGCAAAGCATGAAGTGGCGCCATCTATGCAACGCGGAATAGGCTTTATTTGCCCATAACTTGTTTATGAGTGGACCGATTTTAAAGTTTCTTTAACATTTCGGTAGATATTACTAAACCAAACCAAATTGAATTCACACCTTAAAAAAATCTGTAAAAACTAGGACTTATAGAGAAAGCGAAATACTTAAACTTTAAACTAAATCAACTACTGGGTCTTCTATGGAAGCCAATTAAGGAAAGATGGGTTCGGTTCGGTTTGGTTCTCTTTTGGCCATTTTAAGACCTCTGGCTGCTGGCTGCTGGCTAATGCCATGAGATAAAACCTCTCCCTTCTGCCTTTTGGGGGTAACCACTTGGATTACACTTTGCCGAAAAATATGTTTTTATGTGAGTGTTTTTGTCTTCTGTTTGCCGTTCGCTGTTTGCCGTTAGCTGCCCTTCTCTCTTTCTGCATTTCTTTGTCGCCGTCGGTTATTGTTGCCAGTTTCCCAAACAATGCAGCCCCCGAAAAGGACAACATGAAACATGGCGAGTCCTTGTGGGTGGTAGGTGGTGTATAGTGTGCGGTGGGTGGTGGTTGGTACACGAGTTAGGACAAGCAAGGCCACCATCAAGCGCCCCGTTATAGGATATACTTGTCATTGTGGTGCACTTTTTTTGAGCCCTCCACTCGGAAGCCGCTCACCTGAACACCGGGACAGGAAATGGGTAACAGCTTATTGCATAACCCACAAGCGGGCCAATGTCGCCTGGCCGGGATTAGAGACCCACCCACAAATATGGGTGTAGGTGTTCTGAAAAACACTAAAAAAAAATTATGTAAACTTTAATAAAAAAACATTCAATGAAAAAAAGAATTTCTGAATACTGATGGTGATCAAAAAAATACCATGATTTAGATTATTGGTTAGCTTTATTAGTTTCTTAGTTCAAAAACTTTGCAATAAGAAAAGCTAATGCAAAAGAAACTTTAAAAAATTAGATACCTATTACGAAAATCGACTGCTTGCTGCGCCGCTTGCATTTTATATTTAATTGCTCATAACTTTGTAATGAACGGTCCGATTTTAACTTGATTAATTCCTATTAATTCTTTATTCAATTACTAAAATTTATCATTAACATATAAAAATGTTTTGAAAAAATTCTAGAAATGTAAAGAAAAATCCACTGCTGTTGGGATATCAACTGAATTGATCAACATTTTCTATTCTATTCTATTCTATTCTATATGTAGATTTTTTCCCCAGTGACAGCAGCTCACGTCCTTCCATTCAATCTTTGCCATCCCATTCGTTGGTTTTGGCCGACTTCATTGCGGAATTCTTGGGCTAAGAGCTAAGAGATGCTTTCGACTCAATCAAGTTGATAACGACGGAAATGGAGAGGGGCGGAAGAGGCGGCAGAGGGGGCGTGGCATAAGGCATAGGGACCAAGGGCAAAAGTTCCCTCTACATTGCATTGGCAAAACTTTTTCGCACCAAAAGAGATTTTCGCAAACTGCAAATTCTTCCACTTTGCTGCCTTTGCGATTCATTCAAGTAAAATATGCCATATATTTCATGTGTATGTGTGTGTGTGTGTATAAACGCACACATGCAGAGATGCAAAGCACACACACACACGTAACTGGGCTGACAAGTTGTAACATGATCCAATTCATTAAATGAAAATTATATTTTATGATTTAAATTGCATTTTCCAAGGCAGCCGCCTGCAATGGTATGCGTGGAGCTTTGAGAGCATGCATATTTGTGTTAGTTTACACTGGCAAAAAATGTTGAACAAGAATGTTGTTACCATGATACCTAAACAAAAATTCCTTATTTAGGTATAATTATAAAAGACGGCCTGTTTAAAACACAATGTTTAAATTTAAAAAAAAAAACAAATTTTCTTCTACATTTCGATAGGTATTAACAACATTTTTATATACCTTTGACATTTTTTACCATCAATGTTTGGTTTTAAGTGTCAGATATCTGAAGATCCAGGATCTGAACCATGTGAAAAGCAAATTAAATCCCAAGTGTGGCTCTACTTGCGTCTCTTCATCGGAAAAGCTTGAGGGCAATGAATCATAAGGGGACTCTGTCTCCTGGGAGTTTCCCATTTTTGGTTTTTTTTTTTAACGGCAATGTGGAGGAAATTTGAGGACCCGCCGCCGTACTTTACAATCCCTTTTTTTCCGCCCATTTTCCCTTTTGCCCAAAAACATAATTTAGCGGAAGTTCTGCTTTTGTTTCGAGAGAGCGCGTAAAGTCAATGCGGAAGGAGCCGAAATAAGGAAGTAAAAAAAAGGAGCGAAAAAGGAAGGGGAAATGGAAAATGAGGAAAAACAATTTCAACTTGCTAAGCTTGTTTGTGTGTCTTGGGGGTTTGGTGGGAATTTAAATTGAGCGCATTCAGTTGGAGATGCAGCACAGCAGCCGCAGGAAAAACCAGAAAAAAAACCCACAGGGAAAACCAGGAAAACCCAGGAGGAAACAAGGAATTTTCTCTCTTCATATCCCCCGGTGATCGTTTTCATTTTTGGAGACAATCATTTTTCATCTTTCGCCCCCGCTTGATTAATGATTTCTTTGTTTATCTAGTTGTTAATCTATTTGTTTAGCTATTTGTGTAATTGCTTTCGACCAGCGAAACTATTTCCGGTTCCGGTGACAACTCCTTGCCATTTCTCTAATTGCTTCCGTTTTGGTTGCAATTGCATCCACATCCACATCCACACTTACAGTCCGCATCCACATCTATATCCACCCACCGCCCCACTTAATCGCTTAACTTTGGCGTCAACAAGGCTGCACTCCTCTCCACTCCACTCCAAATTATATAAGCCCTGGCAAATGTCTCAGTCCTCCATATTTTTGCCTTGTTTTCGTTTTCCCCCCACCATTTTCCTCCTCGCTTTTCCTCGCTTTTCTCGAGTGCCAGGCAGGCGACCCCAAAAAGTGTGCTACACATTTTGACAGACTGACAGCTGAGGCCAACGTGGGCGCAAAAGGGGCGTGGTTGGGCGATATGGAACCCAGAATCTACAATCTAGAATCCGGAGACATTTCCCAGCTGAGATGAACGCGTGCTTTTGAATACTTAAAAAAAAAGAAAGCACTAGGAACTAGATTAGTTTGTAATTCATTTAAGAAATTGGTAAAAGCCCCTTAGAAAACCGTTTATTTTATTATTAATTATTAGATGATTAATGACACAAGTTTATTTGTACAAAAGGTGCCGAATTTTCTTTAAATTTTGTATTATTATTTAAAGAATTTTGTAATAGCCCCTTAAAACGGTTAGAATAATATTAAGAAAATAATAGTTGAATAACATTTAATATGACCCAACTTTGTTTGATATGTATTATTTTTTACAAGAGGTCCCTTGAAATACTCTTCTAATAATATTTAAAAAATAATAGTTGACCGAATTCAAAAATGGCAAAAAATGGCATAATAATATTTTATATATCTTATTTTTAACAAGAGCTTTCAAATTTCCCTAGAATCTATTTTTAATTTTTTTTTTTAAATAAAATAATCTTGTTGTCGTGACTCACGTCTCCGCTGCCACCTTTATTTTTGGGTAAACTGGAGCAGTCTTGCCCTGCAATTAACGCAACAAGATTTGTTGACCCTGCTCCTCTGCGCTTGACCTCCTCCTTCACTTCATTTTCCTGACTTTCTTGACTCCTTGACCCGCCTCCGTGATTGTATTTGGCGTAATTATACCCGTTACTCGTAGAGTAAAAGGGTATACTAGATTCGTGCAAAAGTATGTAACAGGTAGAAGGAAGCGTTTCCGACCCTATAAACTATATATATTCTTGATCAGGATCACTAGCCGAGTCGATCTAGCCATGTCCGTCTGTCCGTCTGTCCGTCTGTCCGTCTGTCCGTCTGTCTGTCCGTCTGTCTGTCTGTATGAACGCTGAGATCTCGGAAATTATAAAAGCTAGAAGATTGACATTTTGCATGCAGATTCTAGGAGTTCCTACGCAGCGCAAGTTTGTTTCAAAAGGGTGCCACGCCCCCTCTAACGCCCACAATCGCTTATATACGATTTTTAAAATTTCAATATTTCGGAAAAGTAAAAATGCAGTTTTATGTTGTTTATCAATACCTATTGAAATGTAGAAGAAATTTTTTAAATCGGACCATTCGTTAAAAAGTTACGGCGGATCAAAGTTTTTATCTCCACCTCCTTCGCACTTCCTTTAGCTGAGTAACGGGTATCTGATAGTCGGGGCACCCGACTATAGCGTTCTCTCTTGTTTTTAATTAGCCTTCTCACCCTCCTTGGCTATATTATTCTATTCCCTCCTTCACTTTGAGCCGGGCTAATTGCCTTCCTTTTTTTTATTTTATTCTCAAGTCACATCGACATGTGGCCAACGGAGGAGAGCAGCGATTTTTAATTTAATAAAACTTGCCACACTCCCTAATTGACCAGAGCGCGAAAACGGCTATGCACAGGGAGAAAAAATATTGTACATTTTCTTGGTTTGTTATGATAATTTTTATTGAGATATAGTTTGCTATTCTCGATATTTAATATGTTTTTTCCCATAAAAAAGAAGAAATAGATTTGAAATTATATAATGTCACATGGTATTAAATATTATTTGATTTTAACAGGTTCTTGACATTTCTATATTTTTTTTAAAAGAATATTTTTGAACCCTATCCTTCGATCAACACATAAGTATCGACGTGTATTTTTTCCCAGTGTAGTGGGCTGGGGGCGTGGCAGTCAATAATTCATATGTGTCGCCCCGGAGCTACATATCCGATTTTCTCATTTATCCGGTCCTGTTTTTATCTGCACTCCGCGTGTCAATACATTTCCATATTTGCATTTCGGTTTTTCGCTTTTTCGGTCTCTTTTGGACTTTCGGTAATTCCCATTGAAATATTGCCCTGACATTTGGGCTTGATTAAATTTGAATATTTGAATATGCATGACCAAGCAATAAGGGGCGGAAAATGGTGGGCATTTAAAAATCGGGAGAAAAAACTAGCAGGAAATTGGTGATTTAAAACATGATAAAAAGTATCATGTTACTATTTTCTATTCAACACAAATAATGTCCTGAAATACCATTTGCTTTTAGAGAACCTAATCTACTTTAAGCTAATTAATCCACTTTCAAATTCAAATTTTGATGCTTCCAATTTAAAGCTAAACTTTTTAATCAACATTTATGAAATTGCGTTTTCTGGGTGGCCAAAAAATTCGGCTGGTAAAATTCTAACCTAAAACTGAAAAGCTAGGTCATTTTTTTTGTTCCTTTCCGTTTTTTTAGGTTAGGTTCGGCAAGAATGAAATTAGTCCGATTCTTCTTCTCTGAACTAAAAAGTGAGGTTATGTTTTCCAAATTAAGCTGGTAAATTTCAGCTGGGGTACAAAAGTTGCCCCTAAAAAATCAAGGTTATGTTCTTTTCCGGCCGATTCTTCCCCTGTACTTCAAGGTTTAACTTCCGGCGTACAATAATAGAATGGATAGTTTAATCGAAGACTTAATAAGTTTAAATATTTTTAACTACGCCGCAGTCGCGATTTCCGGAGCAAAACTCGATCAACTAGAATAATCAGATCGCCAAAGATCAATTTTCTCGGAAAGTGATATTCCGGAATTCCCAGAAATCGAAATCCCAGAGGCGAATGAGACTCGAAAGCATAGGCGGCTAAAGCAACGGATAAAGAGGAAAGTTGCGATTCCTCTCTCTCGCACACACACACACGCACACTCACTCGAAAAAAATGGCAGTTTGCAAAGTTTTTTGTTTTAGCTTACAATTGGCAATCCAGCGAGTTCACAGCACGAAATTCGGACAAAACCAGACGTGTCGGAGCGAAGACCACGGGGACGCGAACTTCCGCAACTTAACCAAACGCGCCGAAATCGGCCAAAAACTAACTGTAAATGGGGATGTGAAAGATGCATCAAAATATATATATACACATCGATAAATTCAAGTCGTGATTCTATCCGTGACAAAAACCACGGTTTGGAAATGGACTTTTTTTTCAAGAACCGAGTTGCCAACTAAATTTCTAGACCGCAAAATCGATAATTAAAATTTCGACGAGCTAGAGATGGCAAACCATCGATAAAATCGATGGCTAAAATTCAGTTTTTTGGCCGAAACATTTTAAATAATGAGCCAAATATGGAATGTCATACCTTTTTGAGCTCGTGATTTAATTCCCTAACAATTGGCATTTAAACCTAAACATTTTTTAATTTTGTAAATTTTGCAAAAAATTATGATGGTACCCCTTATCGAAAATGCGAAAATTGGGTCGAATATTAATTTTCTCAAATCAGTCAAAAAGTGCACTGATATTAATTATAGGGTTGTAAGCTGCACAAAACAGTGCGCCTTTTTGATTTGGGACCATTTTTGTCCAAACTACAGCAAAAAATCCATTTAAAAAAATCAAATTTTTACCAAAAATCGAGATCCTGATTTTTCACCCCGAAAAGAAACAGTATTTTTGTCAGAACAATGGAAATAATGGTCCAAATATGGAATGTCATACATCGTTGAACTCGTAATAAAATTCACAAATTGTCTTTAAATCTCGACATTTTAATTTTTTGACATTTTTTGCAAAAAATCATGATACCCCTTATCAAAAATGCGAAAATTGGGTCAAAAATTAGTTTTCTCAAATCAGCCGGAAATTGCGCTGATATTAATATTTAGGTTGTAAGCTGCACAAAACACGAATACAATATACCCTTTTACTCTACGAGTAAGGGGTATAATCAGCTGTTTCTCCCGGGAAAACCAGCTGATTGCCCCAACGTACAGTTGTTAAATTTAAAATCACAGTTCGGAGCTCCAAATGATTCGCAAGGTGGTGGTGGGCGTGTCGGGGGGCGTGGACAGCGCCGTCAGCGCCCACCTGTTGGCGGAGCGGGGCTACCAGGTGCTCGGCGTCTTCATGCGCAACTGGGACGAGATGGACGAAGTGGGTCGCTGCAGCGGGGAGGCGGATCTCCGGGACGCGGAGTGGGCGTGTCGCCGCCTCGGCGTGGAGCTGCGCCAGGTGAACTATGTGCGCGAGTACTGGACGTCGGTGTTCAGCCAGTTCCTGGATGACTACCAGCAGGGCTTGACCCCGAATCCGGACATCCTGTGCAATCGTCACATCAAATTCGACCTCTTCCACCGTCACGCCATCGGGAATTTAGGCTACGATGCGGTGGCCACCGGTCACTACGCCCGCAACAGCTGGGGCAACTTTCTGGAGCGGATTACCCCCGAAAGCGAAGCCCGTTTGCTCATACCCGCCGACACCTTCAAGGATCAGACCTTCTTTCTGGCCGGGATTCCCCAGCGGGCCCTCCAACGCACCATGTTCCCGCTGGGCGACCTGCACAAGAGCCAGGTGAAGCAATTGGCTGGGAAGATTGGCCTACAGCGGCTGGCCGAGAAGAAGGAGAGCACGGGCATTTGTTTCGTGGGCAAGCGCAATTTCAAGGATTTCATAAAGGAGTACATCTCGTCCAGGAGAGGACCCTTCCTGGACATCGACAGTGGTGATATAGTGGGCCACCACGAGGGCATTCATCAGTGGACGGTGGGCCAGCGCTGCCGCCTCAGTTCCTACCGGCAGCCCTACTTTGTGGCCCGCAAGGATGCCAAGATCAATGCCATCTATGTGGCCTCGGGTCACGATCATCCCGCCCTGCTTAGCAACCGCATAAACATCGATCCGCCCAACTGGCTGTGCGAGGAGTCCAGGAGGAGGCTGGTCGAGGAGAGAAGCCTGCGATGTCGCTTCCGTTTCCAGCACACCAAGCCATTGGTGGGTTGTCAATTGAAGATGGGAGCACCAGGTAGTGACTATCTAGTCCAGTTAGATGCTCCTTTGAGAGCCATTACTCCCGGACAATATGCTGTATTCTATGACGAGACGGCCTGCCTAGGTTCAGCCCGCATTCTCAGCGCAGATCCTCTAGAGAAACGGGAACGCGAGGTGCTCAAAACTGCCGTGTGACAAAGAAGAATCAATGCAAGATAAGCATGTGACCGCATTATAAAATAAGTAAATATTGTAAATTATTTAAGTAAACTTATTGTACATAACACACTTTCTGAATAAACCTAAGCTAAAATAGCTTCAAATCCAACAAAACACTCTTTCAATTCCATTGTAAACACTTTAAACATATACTTATATTTATTCTAGGTCAGATTTACAAATAGTTTTAGTCGAAAAAAATGGGCATTCCTTAAAGCTACATATAAAATATTCTTGTGGTCCTGGGCGCAATTTCGAATCAAAGTCAATAACACAATTATAGTCGCACATAAATAGGGTTTCGCTTAAGGTCTAGGCATTAAAAACTAGCTTATATGATTGAGCAGGGATGTGTGGATAGATAGCAGGTGAATGAATCATGTGAGCAGCACGGTGAGCGCGTCCAGGAAGCGGGTGAGGTCGCTCTGGCGCAGCTGCACCACCGCAGGCTCGAAGAAATCCTGCAGCAGGGCAACGCCCGACTTTTGAGCGGCCTGCTCGAAGGCCTTGCCAAAGAAATTCCTCGGCGAATCCTCCCGAACAGGAGCAATCCCCACCAGCAGGCACATGCCCTGCGCCGCGTCCAACGGGCAGCTGGCTATTAGGGGCAAATCCGGTGCCTGTCGCGCCCTACTCGTCGCCACATGGCCGCGCAGCAGGAAGCGGGCGAGCAGACCCAAGGCATAGGGATACGAGAAGAAGGCGTGCTCCTCCTGCAGAACGTAGTAGAAGAAGGAGCCTGCGGAGTGCACCTGGCGTGCCTCCAAACTGCTCTGCACCTGCCGAAAGACGGCGGCATGCAGGAGCTTGGCCTGATCAATTCCAGCGGTTAGGAGCTGCTTGTGCTGGCGACTCAGCGAGTCGGAGGCCTCCAGGAAGCAATCCTCCGGCGTCTTGTGCTTCTTCACCGACTCCATGATGGCCAGCAGAGCGTAGACATAGTCCGCTGCCGCATAGCGACTGCGGTAGCCGTAGCTCAGGGTGAAGGTGCCGTACACAATGTCCGGTATGTCGTACTTCTCGGCCAGCCGCTCGACCATCGAGTAGAACTCCTTGCGCAGCACCAGGTCCATGGCTCCGTAGGTTTGCCTAGCATGCACCAGCGGCAGTCCCATCTCGAGGAGCAGTTCGTGGAGTCTCTTCTCGCCTCGCAGCGTCCACAGTTTCAGCTGGCAGGAGGCGTAGCGGGAATATCTGAAGGGGAATTTATGTTTTAATATATAGATTAAAGTATATATGATGTGTAAATCTGGGTTCGGAAATTGACACGCATGTTAGAAACATAAAAAATTGTATTTTTTACACAATGTGTTATTAGCACGACGTGTTTTTTACACACTGTGTTTTTAACACAAATGAAAATTACATTTTACTGACATTAACGAGTCTTATATGTTAGTTTGAACCATTTCAAAGCAAATATATGAATTCTTATACTCTAGAAAACCGCGCATTTTTCATTTCAACATATAATTCAGACACTTTAATGTCAAAAACTCATTGTGTTAAACACACGCCGTGTAAAAAACGCGTCGTGTAAATAAGACAAATGACAAGTGTGTGTTATTTATGTTTCTAACATATGTAAGATACAATTTTTTACACAAGTTTTTTACAGTGTGTGTTGTTTTTTCCGAACCCTGTAGTATAAATACCTCATGGACTCCGTGACAGGCCAGTGGCGGTACAAAACCAGGTGCAAATCATTCTCGAAGGTGATTTTCGAGGCACTCATCGTATTCTGGTCATTCGTCTTGTTCGTTAGCCGCGACACATGCGACTGGATTTGCTCTAGTTCTAAAGTGTAAGCACCACTCTCGATCTTCCCGAGGAGTAGTTGCTCAGTGCAGCCCACGATGGCCCACCAGAGGAGGTCCATGTTGTCCTTGCTCAGCTTCCAGGCGAGCTCGAAGAGCATCAGGGCGGCCGACCTCCCATAGTAGCTGAACTGGGTGTACTCGAACATGATCCTGTCGCGCTCCGATTCCCATTGCCGGCGGGCGCGCTGCTTGAGGATGCGCTGCTCGTGCCGCTCCAGGCGGCTGAGTTTGTGAGAGCTGCTCCTGGGAGCCGCCTGATCCTCCTGATCCGATTCCCCGGCGCCGCTGTCGTTGTTCCGCTGATCCTCCTGGTCCGAGGTTTCATCCTCTTCATCTTCCTCCCCCTCGGAGTCGTAGAAAATGGTCTCGAAGGAGGGGATGTTCTCCTCCAGCGAGGCATCGCCCAGGATGCAAACCTGGCGATCGCTGTAGATGTTGCAAACGTCCAGCGGGCGGTGCGAGTCGCAGATGAAGAAGGTCACGTCCTCGGCGGGCTGCAGCAGCTCCACGATGTCCACGCAGCCGCCGCAGTTGACCAGCACCACGTACTTGACGTCGCCCTGGTGCTCCCCGTAGGCCCGCTTCAGCCCAGTGACGCCCATGATGGGCACCACCGTGTAGAGCATGTGGTCGTACTTGAACAGCGCCTGCAGGATGCGGCTGGCGCAGATGGCGTCGATGTCGTAGTTGACCACGATCAGGATGCGCTTGCCCACCAGCTGGCGGTAGAAGTCGTTGCGCAGATCTTGTACGAACATGGTGGATGTGGATTTGGATCAGGAATGAGCAGGAATCTTTCAATCTTTCGGTGTGTGTGGCTTCTAGATGACCGGGTTGCGCTGCATTTTGCGGCGATTTGTGCAATTTTACTGCTGCACCTTTCCCAACAATCCAATTGCAATTTGCAATTCGCAAATCCGAAATCCAATCGAATCAAAAACGCGGGAAAAACAGCTGGTTATCCGAATTAGAGGTGGGAGAAGTTTTATGATATTCGATAATTAGCAATGTTTTTAGAGGTGGGAGAAGTAGCAATGTTTATATTATTGATGTTTATATTAGGGGGATTCCCTAAACTGTTGAATTGCTGAATTGTTGAAAATTCAACAAAAAATTTCAGCAATTAAGGGAACGACCCAAAATGGTTCCTGTTGAATTTTCAAACAGCTGTTATTTGTTGAAAAATTTCACGGAACTTAAAGCATGTAAAATTTGATTAATTATTGCTAGTTACTGTCTAAAAGTCTTACCAAGGTAAAAAGAACCACAAATATGCTTTCTAAGTTGATTTTAAAATAAATAATGCGTACTGGTGATACTAAAATGTTACAGAGTTGCCACGACTTTTTAAAAAAGGTGACAACTCTGGCTTTTCAGCAATTCAACAAAATTTTCAGCAGCCCCGAGGCTGATGAATTGCTGAAATTTCTGAAAGTTGACTTTGTATGGAACAGCTGATTAACAGCTGACCAAAATTCAACAATTCAGCAATTCAACAGTTTAGGGAATCCCCCTATTATAAACTCCATTAAATGATCTTTATTTTTTATTTGTTTTAAATATTTAAATTTTATTTTTTAAATATTTTAAATTCGCGACATTCGATTTATTGTTTCTTACCCCCAAACCAAAAGTCAGTATATTTTGGCGCGCCAGAAACGGTCATACTGCTACTGCATGTGTTTGAAAAAAAACACACTTTTTCCTTTTCCCAACAATTTGCAATTTAAAACGTTTAATTTTATAAAACTTATCAAAGTTTGTGTGCAAAAGTGAACCTGTAACATGAGCAAGGACAACAACAACAAGAACAAGAAGCTGCTGGCCCAGCGACACATCTCCTCGCGGATGAACTTCCTCTTCCAGGCGTCGCATTTAATGGCCAACAAAGATCAGAGTAAACTAGCTGCTTACTACGGGAAACTCTGCCGAAATGTGGGCACCAAGGCGGTGATGCACATGTGAGTTTGGCCAGGGGCCTTTACTTGATCCCTTAGTTAATCCTTCAACTGATTTCCTGCAGGGCTCCTGCTCTAAAACGCTCTCTTTGCCGGCGCTGCTCGCTTCCGCTGCTTCCTGGCGTGAATACGGAGCTGCAGGTGGCCAGGGAATCCAGGGAACCCAAGGAACCTCCTCAGGAGATCCCACCCTCCAATGGGGAAGCCAAGAAGCCCAAGAAGAAGCGCCATCGCAGGCAGCGCAAGAAGGGAAGCTCCCAAGAGTGCAGAAATCCCTCATCGCCGCCAGAAAACCCAGCAGAAACAGAACGAATCTCTCTCTACTTGGAGTGCTCACTCTGCCAGAGCCGCCGAAGCTTTCCGGCCGGCGAGAACCAAAGAGATTGCTGGCTAGAGCAGCCACAATCCCTGGTGCAAGTGGTCTCTCTGCCCGGAGAAAGATAAGCCGGAGCTTTGCCTTATCAGCAGCGCAGTTCTTTGCCTCTACCATCGCCTGTTTTGTCCGTCAGTTGAGCCCGGAATGCTGAGCTGTAGAAAACAACTAATTTCACGGCTGCTCCGCCGACAAGCGAGCACTTTGGCTCGCGGAGGCTATGTGGAGGTACAGGAAGAGCAGGGTCAGCCTCTCAAATACCCACAAGTTTGGCTGAGGGACAACTGCCAGTGTGCCGAGTGCTTTCATGCCGCCACCAGGGCCAGAAAAAGTCACTGGGAGCGTGGACCAATTAATCAAAAGGTCTCCCAAGTGGCCTACAACCAGGAGAAGAAGCAGTTGGAGATTCTCTGGCAGGATAAGCACAAGAGCTCCTTCGATTTGGCCTGGCTAAGGGAGAGGGACTTTGGTGAGGCGGCCAGGGAGCGCTACTTGTCGGAGGTTTACAAGCCACGAGCAGAAATCTGGGGAAAATCAGAGTTCGAGGCTGTGCGGCGGGAGTTCCAGTACGAGGATGTCATCCAGAAGGATGCAGTGCTTAAGGATTGGCTGGAGGCACTGGCCATCCAGGGATTCGCCATTCTGAAAGGCGCTCCCAACGATGTGAATGTGGCCCGGCATTTGGCCAACAGGATTGGCTACATAAAGCGCACCACCTACGGGTAATTATTACAGTCAAACAGCACTCATTTCGGAGACTCCAATGGTATATAACTGATAGCCGAGAGCTCTTGGTCATTATCTATCTACCAATCTAACTTATCGGCTGATTATTACAGCCAGAATCAGCAGTTTTGGTTTACCTTTTGGTTTTTGGCCAGGTGTCCACCATTAGCTTGCTCTTTCTGTGCTCTTGATAAAGATTTCCAGATAGTAATTGCTTTGGTAGACAAGTTCAGAGTAGAGAGTATCGATATTTTCGATATTTTCACTATATGGCTTCGATAAATTCGATGATTTCAATGAAACAAATATTAAATATCGAAAAATATCAAAATTTCGATATTTTTTCAAGATCTAAGTCAACGGCTCTTCAACTTCCCCCCTTTTTTCGATTATAACTCAACCATCCCGCCTTCTGCTTCCCCTAGCGACGTTTTCGAGGTGAAATCCAAGCCAAATGCCGGGAACTACGCCTATTTGATGACTCCTCTGCCGCTGCACACGGACATGCCGTACTACGAGTACAAGGCGGGCATCAACATCCTGCACACCCTCGTCCAGTCGTCATCCAAAGGAGGAGCTAATACCCTCACCGATGGCTTTAATGTGGCTTCGCGGCTCCGGAAAGACTTTCCAGAGGACTTTGAGGTACTGCGAACGGTGCCGGTGAATTGGTTTGACATCGGACACGATGGCGATCAGGCCCAGCCCTTCCACAGCCTGTGGCGATCGCCGGTGATCTGTCTGGATGTGGACGGCGCGATCACGAGGATCAATCAGAACACCACCAAGCGAGACAGCCGCTTCTCTGTTTCCATGGACGAGGCCATCGCGTGGTATCGCGCCTACGATAGATTCCTGGAGTTGGCCCAATCGGAGGCCGTGGAGTTCAAGACCCAGGCGGGCGATGTCTTTGTGTTTAACAACCTGCGCATGCTGCACGGCCGAACGGCCTACGAGGATGCGCCGGGCAACAAGCGGCACTTGGTGGGCGCCTATGTCGACTGGGACATTATCTACTCCAAGCTGCGAACTCTCAAGTTCCCAAACGCCAAGGACTAAGTTTATAAGCCGCTGTAATATATAATAAAAATAATGTATAACCTTTGAACTGTAAAGTTGCAAGGTAAAGAAATGTCAACCTCTGTCGTGTGGTTATTTAATAAGACTCGGTTTTCTTTAGGGATTCCATATTTTAATCGTATTTATAAATACAAATTTTGTTCAATTGCCCTTAAAATATAAATATGAACAAATTTGATTCTTTTGTTCTAAATATAAATGCAAATGCGTCTTTTTCTTTTATTTAGTGTTTAATATTAACAATTTAACAATGTATGGATTAGTAAATAAATAATTAAGTTTAAAAATTCAAAAAGAAAACTTTAACCGCTATAGGGACTATCGATATATATATTCGATATATCCCAATATCAACGTGATTTGGTATTTAAAGGCTGTTTCGATAAAATCGTATGTGTTTGTGTAAAACTTACGTAAACTAACGAATAAAAAAACTAAATATTAAATATTTGAATTATTTAAATAGAAAAACGCACTTGAAACTTGATAATTATTAATAATTACATTATAAACAGGAATGGTATTTTCTGGTATTTATTCCCATGCCGGATGGTATTTTCTCTCTCGCATCGGTACGGTCACGCTGCACCTCTAGCATTTTTATTTCGCACGCAAAATAAAAATAATGGAAAGAAATTGACCAAATCCGGCCGTAAAATGCGATCCTCCAGATCCTAGATCCCCGAAATCTTGGTACAAAGTGAGTGGGCAGCGACACAGCGAGAGAGAGTGGGAGAAAGAGAGCTAGTGAGAGTGAGAGGGAGTGCAGTGTCCCGAGCACTCGATTTGGATTCCAGAAAGGATTTGGATTTGGATTTGGATTTGCATTACTTTCTGCTGCGAAATGATGCCCTACAATGTGCGAAATGCCGGCGGCGGAAGCGTTGGCGGAATCCTTCGGCGCACGGGCCACGCTTCCAGTTCCAGTTCCAATCTAATCCTGAGCAATGGCAACGGAGGCACGGGAATGGGAGGAACAGTGGGAACGGCAGGAGGTTCCTCCTCCTCCGCCTCTTTGAACCTGGAAAACCACCGACAAACGCCGCTGGAACTGCTCGTCTTTGGCTACGCCTGCAAGATTTTCCGGGACGACGAGAAGGCGCGGGAAATGGACCACGGCAAGCAGCTAATTCCCTGGATGGGCGATGTAAATCTCAAGATAGACAGGTTAATAATTGGAACTAACCCCGAGCAAATAATTATACGATTAATCAGTACGCACACACTGCTACACCACACAGACACACATACTCATGTCCCGTTAGGACCACATTCATCTAAACAGCAGCGGTCAAGTTACTAGCAGCGGCGTTTTAAAAATCCATAAATAGCCAAAACAATTTCGAAAAATTTAAAAATCATTAGTACTCAGCTTAAATTTTTAAAAACTACTTTTTAAAAAATTCCAAATTTTATAAGTGATTTTCATCTGCTTAATGATAGAACATATTTCAATGCTAGCTGTATTTTGACTTATAGACGACCGATCCGTTCACACACTACCCACATACACACTCATTCCACCCACAAACACCACCCCACACACACAAACACACCATTGTAATAACAGCTCTTTTCAGTGCTTCTCAAAATGTAATCTCTATCCATATACAATTTGAAAAACTGTAATTCTTTGACCATTTTAAATGTAAACCGATTAACTTTTTAGCCACCGGAGCGGTATGTATATGAACGATCTCTAGCCTTAAAAAAAACCTAATCTAATCTGAAACTGCATTATATATATATATATATATATGATATACCTTATATGACTCTATGAATATTGTGTAAAAATGCGCGAGAGTGTGCGAAGCAAATGGGGACTCTGTGTAGTAGGGAGGTTCCGAAAGGAACCGCCCCGCCCCTCCGTTTGTTTCGCCCGCCCCTTTTCGCGCCGCGCCCCTGCAATTGCCACGCCCACTGATAATGCTCATCTCTCTCCTCTCTGTTTATATTTCTCTGCTTGCTTTCTTTCGGCTCCATGAAAACTGTGATTACCCTACGATTACGAATACCCAGATACGATGTGCGTGGCGCCCTCTGCGAACTGGCGCCCCACGAGGCGCCACCTGGCGGCTATGGCAACCGTTTGGAGTACTTGACCGCCGAGGAGCAGCGCGCCGAGCAACTTTGCGAGGAGGAGCGCTACCTGTTCCTCTACAACAACGAGGAGGAGCTGCGACTGCGCCAAGGTGAGTGCCACGGCGATCTGGTAATACCTTCAGATCCAACGATCCGGAGGTTTGGGGGTGTCGATATAGGGATCGAGATCTAGGGATCCATATCTAGTGATATATATCTAGGGATCTATATCTGGCAATCTATATCTAGGGATCTATATCAAGAGATAAATCTCTAGGGATCTATACCTAGGGATATATATCTAGGCATCTATATCTAGAGATATATTTCCAGGGATCTATATCTAGAGATCTATATCAAGGGATATATATCTAGGGATCTATATTTAGAGATCTATATCTAGGGATCTATATCTGGGGATCCGTTACAACTTGGCTAAAAATGTATCATTAATTTTAGTAATTGTCCCTGGACAGATTGTAAATTAAAATAATAAACCATTCCGTTTGGTCTAAAATCTACACTCAAAAATCTCTTCTCAAAATCAAATCAAATAATATCATAAATATATAATAAATATCATAACGATCGATGTCGACACCCCTAATCCCAAACTCCTCAAATTGTGAATTGTATTACTAGTACTGCAATTATCAAGAATCGATCAAACCCAAATCGCAAACCGAAAATATTGAATATTGAATCGAATCAAGTCAGTACCAATCAAATCAAAACCAACCACCGATAAAGAAACCACCACCGACATCCCCCACGATATTTCCAGAGAGATTCGTCCTTTCTTGGAGCAGGTAAATACGAAATCCTCACCAGCTGACAGATTAAATCGTTTCTTTCAGGTTAAATTAGCCTGTAGTCCAGAGATCCCAAGGAACCCAGTGAATGCCCAGTGAAAAATAAACAAAATATCGTTATCCAGCTAGCCCCCTCCCTCTCTCTCTCTTTCTCTATGTCTCTCTCGTTCGCATCAACTCCTCGAATACGTTTCTCTCGCTCTGATTCGAATAAAATATGTTGATTTAACACCTCCGTGTACTAAAGTCGCACCATTCGATGTGTTCTCTGCTCTTATTTTGGCCCGATTATGCGTATCCTGCAGAGGAGGACCTCAAGCGGCTGCAGCAGGAGACCTCCGGCGGCAACTACAGCCAGGTGGGCTTCCAGTACGATGGCCAGTCCGCGGCCTCAGCCTCCACGGCGCCCTCGCAGCTCTCGCCGACCTCCGAGGAGAACGAGCTGCCCTTCGTCCTGCCCTACACGCTGATGATGGTGCCTCCGTTGGGCATGCAGCTGGTGAGTCCAAGATCTATGAAAAAATACCATGAGAAAATTAAAAGAATAAGTGTGGAATGCGACATACGAAAGTTTGCTATTTTTCGATATTTAATTTGTGTTTTCCTTCAAAACATAGTTATATCAAATCCAAATAGTCAAAATATCGAAATTTTCAAGCTTAGACCGATATTTCATTTGTGTTTTCCCTCAAAACATCGATAATATCGAATCAATATTGTCAAAATATCGAAAATATCGAAAATATCGATAATTTTCAAACTTTAGACCGCAGGCATGCTTTGTGTCTTTACAATATACATATCTGATATAGACTTACTCACTATTTACTGGTTAAATCTATATTAATCCCCCATATTATTATGATCTTAACATGTCATTTAATTCCCACAATTATTACAATTTCAGCCGGAAACGATGAAGCAGCACGCCATTATTGAGAAGACAGCTCGCTTCATCGCCACCCAGGGTGCCCAGATGGAGATCCTGATCAAGGCGAAGCAGGCGAACAACAACCAATTCGATTTCCTCACCCAGGGTGGCCACTTGCAGCCGTACTACCGTCACCTTTTGGCCGCCATCAAGGCAGCGAAATTCCCGCCCGCTCCGGAGGCCACGTTGGATCAGCAGCAGCAGCAGACTGGCCAGGACCAGGAATCGAATCCATCAACGAACGATGTACATGGCGAGGACGGAGCGGGCGGAGGAAGGAGGAACAGCAACCAAGTGGTCATCACGGTGCCCACTATTAAGTACAAACCCTCGGCGAACTGCGCCTACACCCAGCTAATTAGCAAGATCAAGGGCGTTCCCCTGCAGGCTGTTTTGCTGGAGGACGAGTCGAGTAATCCCGGGAATTCGCAGCACTCGGGCACGGATTCACCCACGCCCAGCTGCCGATCCGAAGGTCACAACAGCCAGGGCGGCGGGGAATTCACGCCCGTGCTGCTGCAGTACAACGGGAGTACCTTCACCCATGAGACGGAGACGCCGCAGGATGACAACGAGAACAACAGTCGCGAGCCGCCGCAGGTGGAGCTGCTTAAGAACACGAGTGCCCTGGCCCTGGCCCAAAACTATAGTTCCGAAAGCGATGATGAAGAGGAGGAGGAGCCGGAAAAGGAACCCGAAAAGGTAGGTTAACCGTCCAGCACCTCGTAAAATCCTAAACTTTATCTTATTCACACAGAAACCCGAGCCCGTCTTGACCTTTCCCGTTCCGGAGGAGAGTCTGCGGCACATAATCGACAAGACGGCCACGTATGTGATCAAGAACGGACGGCAATTCGAGGAGACGCTGCGCACGAAGAGCGTGGAGCGGTTTAGTTTCCTGCTGCCGGCGAATGAGTTCTATGCCTACTACTTGTACAAGGTGACCGGCGATGTGGATGCGGCATCCAAGGAGGAGAAGACTCGCAAAGCGGCCGCCGTGGCAGCTGCCCTGATGTCCAAGAAGGGACTCAGCTTTGGCGGAGCGGCAGCTGCTGCTCTAGGAACTGGCAACAATCTGGATAAGGGTGAGGGTCTCTAGGTGGAACTTAGAATAAGGAAAAAATATTAATTAATTTGTATTGCATTTCGTTTTAGCTCCTGTAAGTTTCTCCATTCGCGCTCGGGATGAGCATGGTCCATTGCAACCCACTCTTCCGCAGGAGACCAGCGACGAGGAGGCCAGTTCGATGGCCGGTGGCGGCGGGGAGCAAGTGCGTCCGGGCATGCCGGATAGTGTGCAGCGGGCCATCAAGCAGGTGGAGACGCAATTGTTGGCCAGGACCGCCGGTCAGAAGTCGTCAGCCGCCCCATCCTCGTGTTCCTCGCCGCAAAAAGAGCAGCGACAAGGTGAGATATTTACGAAATACTCTTTAATCAACTTTTATATAATCGAATTATGTTATAACCTATCAGCTGAGGAGCGCGTAAAGGACAAACTGGCGCAAATCGCCCGCGAGAAGCTGAACGGAATGATTTCCCGCGAGAAACAATTGCAATTGGAGCGAAAACGCAAGGCCATGGCCTTTCTCAATCAGATCAAAGGTACGTCTACCAAAGTATATCCTAATCTTCTTGCGAATAATAACATACCATCATTTTATTTAACAAGGTGAGGGTGCCACTGTGGGTTCAGCGGTGACCGGTACTGCTCCTAATCCTCCAGAGGCTGCGGCAGGTGCTTCGCAATCGGCAGGCGGTGAAAGTGACAATGAGTCCAACGACGAATCGGTTCGATCCATACCCATCACATTCTTTGGACCCGACGACGATGACGAGGTGGGAGATGATGATCAGAAGGAGCCTGAGGTGAGACTCGAAAGGAGAGCGAAGGAGGATGAGGAGGACGACGACGAAGAGGACGAGGATGACGATGGCGATCTGGAGAAGTACAATCTGCTAAACGATGATAGCACAAACACCTTCACCAGCAAACCCGCACCTTCGCTCGTGGCTCCTCCTCCTCCTGCCGCTGCTTCCGCCGTCCCCGCCCCTGCCGTTCTTCTCTCCGACGACGACGACGTCCAGCTGGTGGCCACGTCCTCCTCCTCGCGATCCTCCCGGTCGCGTCCCCGTAAAATGCCCCGCCGGAGCATGAGTCGCAGCCGGAATGGTCGCAGCAGAAGTCGCAGTGCCAGCAGTGCTTCCAGTCGAGAATCCTCCCACCGACGGCGCCAGAAAAGCAGCAAACCTTCCAAGGAGCCATCATCCTCGATCGCGGCCCGAAAATCCCAGTCGCAGTCAACGCAGCGAAGAAAAGGAAGCCCAAAGAAGAGGAGGCGCAGCAGGAGTAGAAGCCGATCAAGGAGCCACCGACGGAGTAGAAGCAGAAGCAGCATATCACGCACCAATAGGCGGAGCAGATCGCGTAGCTACTCCGGCGGAAGTCGGGAGGCGGAACAGCGACACCGGCAGCAGCAGCAGAGGCGCCGCACGCCCACCAAGAAGTCGCACAAGCGGCACAAGCGACGCAGGCGCAGCAGCTCCCCCTGATGATCCAGATCCAAATCCACCTCCACATTTCAAAGTTTTTTGTAGTTCACAAGTTGTATCAAATAAACCACCAACATATTTTTGTAAACAAGCGCGGTGTGGTTACCCTAAACCAGTTGGGAATACCCCTGCTTTTGCAAAGTCGTCGACTAGGGGATGACCATTATATGTAATATTTATAAGTTATGTAGTGAAATTTAATGTAATGTCGAGCTTGGCTCGAACTAAAATCTGATATCTTAGCGAAGTGAAGTAGAGATATTATAATTTATAATATTATTATATTATATATTATATTATTATGTACTTCAATCTCGGGGAATTTAAGTTAGACAAGCTCGACTGTTTATTATTTGTATACCTACTTATGTTTAAGTATGATTTCTTTTCTGTTGGTTAAGAGATTTAGTTGTGTAAGCCCTTGGATCTAGGTGTAGATCAGTTTCACAATACTCTATATACCCTGCCTACTCATCATCCCAAGTAGTGGGTATAAAAACCCGGTGGCAGTGAGCTCATCGGTTTAGTTTGCTGTGGATGCTCCACAAGTTCTCATGATGTTGTTCCACTCGAATTATTTACTGCTGATCAGCTGCTGCTGCCTGGTTCTTACGGTCACAGCGCAGATTCCCATCAGTAAGTGCAGGGAATCTCAACCATTTATTTTTGATTTTATTTTGATTAATTTTTAGCGCCCCGAGAATGTGCGGAAAACGAGACTTTCCTGGCCTGCGGTCCCAGTTGCCAAACGGAATGTGCCACGCTGGGAAAACCCTGCCTGATTAATCACATCCGATGTCCCGATGGATGCTATTGCAACAAGGGATTCGCCAGGAATTCAGGGGGCCGGTGCATTCCCATCGCCAAGTGCAACAAAGGCGGTTACGGAAAGTAGAAGCGGTTATCAAGAAATACATGGCTAATTAAAAACCACTGAAAACTTGAAGACAATAAAATTCAATGGGATGATAGCGCGGCATTGATAATGATAATTGGGCCACATCGTGACTTGAATTGATGAATCGGCATCTGGTTTTGGAGTTCAGATGAGAGTTGAAACTGGAATCTTCACAGGTGTTTTTACTCTTCATATTTCCCATTATCACTTAATCATTTTGTTGTATTATTTATTTTAATTTCATGAGCTTTTATGATCAAAGTTCAAAATGGAGTGGAGAATGTTGTTGATTTGAATCAAGAGAGCAAGCTTAAGCAAAATCAAATGAAAAGTCTGAGGGTAAGCAGAGCTCAATTGTTATCTCTTCGATTAAAGCTTATAACTTGCGATTTTCAGAGAATGTAGCGGTAATATTATATATAATATCGGGTTATAAGTCAAGAACAAAAGAAAAAACTATTAGGAGCACAAAGAAATGTGGTAAGTGGGCACTAATCAAAGTAAGTTGGTATATTGAAATGTGACATTTTTTTAAATTGTAGCCCCCAAAAGTGTGTTATTAAAACTGTGATATTACATGCGATGACTAATGCGATGATCTATGAAGTGATCACGAAAACTAAGAGTAGGAGAAGAGGAATATAATTTAAGCAAGATTTCCAAATTAAAATAACACATGGGTGAGTGATAATAATCTCCTATTATATCTTAAGTTATGTATACAAGAAACCACGTGCTGTCAGTGGAAAATGGTAGCTTAAAGCTGGAATTGAACTTGGTAAATCATAGCAGAAATAGGGCGTGGGGATATCAAGGAGCAGGATTTTCAAATCCCGTTACCTAAGCCGCGTAACGGAATCGAACGACCACCGATGACAACAAGCTGAATGCAAAATGTAAATGTAAATGTTTGCCGTCATCGAGTCGAAAATGTTGGCAGGCGCCCAAACCAAACGTTAATAAACTCCCTGTCGATGGGGTCGATTTACATAGGCAAACAGTCGAGTCCACCTACCACTCCCACACTATTCACCGTGCAATTTTGGCGACCGCGTGCGGTGAAAACTGAAAACATAACTCTCTTACGACTTTTAGTTGCCCTTAAAAAGGATACAAAATAACAAAATCATTTTGAGCCTCAGGTTTAACAGAATACTTGCATAGGTGTGTTTAAATTTAACTGGTCGTTTTTTTACCAATTTAATCTTTGAATTACTTCGAATTTCGTATTTTTATTTAGTTTAATATGTTTAACCGTTTTGGTTACCCAATTTATAGTTGTAGATAAGTTGGCTAGGTTGTTGTTATACTTTAAAAATCTTCTGATACCATTACGATTTAAAACCTATTCTCTGTGTCATAACATCCATACTTATGGGGGAGCTTATGTAGGCTGGATTTTTGGGGTCATAGTATCAGAGTATCAAAAGAGCTGAAAAAACGTTCGTTTGGTTTTTGGATTTGCAATGCAAACATGTGTGTGAGTTTCCCTGCCCCACAGCCCTTTTTTTGTTGTTGTTTGTTTGTCAAAGACGCTGAGAAATATTTCCTCAAATTCATTGAATTCCGCATGGAGAGGGGGGAAAAAGAAATGGAGCGGGAAGCAAAAGAAAAGCGCCCGCTGTGCGGACCTGCGGAAATTCAAACGGAATCAAAGTGAAAAGTTCGGCGAAAAATCATCGACACACGCGCGACGGGTGTATGAATGAATACGATGAATGTGCGATATGTGTACCCCTCGGATTCCTTCTTTTTTCTTTGCAACTCCTGTGGCAGGATATCAGCAGCAGCAAGGATAACACACAGCGACTGTCAGTCAATCTTCGAGTGTTTGAATGGATGCGAGGAAAATGGAGGAAAGGCTGGGGAATGTGAAGTGAAGTGTGCGTGCGAAAAAGAAAGAGTTTCTCTTTACCAATTCAGAGACCCAAGAACTCGACGCAAAGCAAACAAACAAACAAACACCAAAAAGGGAAAATAAACACACGGGCAAACAGAGCACGAATAATTTGACTTTATCTAAGCGCCAGCCAACCAATTCGCATTACCAACAAAAGGAGTAAAAGGAATACCCTTTCCCCCTTTTTTTCGCTCTTTTATCCGTTTTATCATTATTTATTGACTTATGCTTAAGGTTTAGAGATTTATTTCTGGCTGAAAAGGGGGCCTTCTTTCTCTATTCCCATAGCGTTTTGAAACGAATTCCTGCTAAAAATCTAGTATTACTATAAAAAAGTAGTGGTCCCTATAATCCTAACTATAAGACCTAAATTTATAGGAAAAAATTTGGTTTAAATCGTGTTTTAGAAAGAAAAAAAGCCTGGTGCTAACAAAATTATAGATTTTATAAAAATTTCAATGTCATTTTGTTGCCTAATACCTATCAAAATTTTGAAGAAAATGTTCAAACCGGACAATCCATTAAAAAGTTATGAGCAAAAAATTAAATGGCCGCTAGATGGCTTTTTGCTTTGTGCTTTAACTATGGAAATCTTTAAAACCCCAGGAATTCTATTAAACATGGCAATTTCACTTGCCTTTTCGATTTATATTTTAAATATATGGATTGGTTTGACGTGTGCCCACAATAGCACGCATAATCCTCCATCGTAGGACACTTCAACACCCTCCCCCCCATACCATTTTTTGAAACCCCCCCCTCTCTAAAGCTTAAATGCTATTATATTTTGTTGCCCTTTTCGGATGCTGCGGCTGACAAAAGTTTTGTTTGCGGTTGGTTTTATTTATTGCATTTCTTTCGCCACTGTTTTGTTGTTTCTGGTTTGTCGTTGTTCGTTTTTCGTTCCTATGGAGCACTTTTCGAAAAAGTGCTGAAAGGGGGGTTCTGGTCTGGACGGGGGGTCGAAAGTCCCCAAAGTTGTGACTCGTTGCCGATAAACCGAAAATTCGCTGCATTTCTCATTTGTATTTGCGGTTTGAACTCGATTTAATTTTGCTCCTGGCAGCCAAACAACGGGGGCTCGAAAACAAAGTGTTGGAGTGTTAAGAGTTGTCTGAAACTTGAAACTGATGGGTTTTCACACAGCCGTGATAAAAAAATAAACTTGACCGAGTTGTCAGCTTTTCAAGGGTTTTGAACTTTAAACTTTATGGTATTACTAGTATATTTTTATACTATTATACTGGACCTTGTTTATACAATGCAGGGACCGTAAATAATCATTATTTGAGATTTTTATTTTAAAAGGACTACTGTGATATTTTGTTTTAAACGTCAAAAATAACGTTCTTTTTACTCTTGTCCACAAAGTATATGCATTTCAACAAATCTGGAAAGCAAATTAACTGATATTTGTTCATGTCTATAAAGTGCATAAAAACCAGTTAAATTGTTGATTAAAACTTGTAAAAACCTCAATAGGCCTTTTAAAATAAAAATCTCAAATAATGATTATTTACGGTCCCTGATACAATGAGTTGTTTAACTTGTTACAAGTTTTTTGGCCTCTAAAGACCTGGTAAATAGTTTGGAATTCGATTGCCATCCGATATCAAAAGTGGACCATATCTTCCTGTAATTATTCCCTGCCGAAACCCTATTACTTATGGTTCGGATCCTAAAGTCCGGGTCAAAGGCCACGGGGTCGAAGCACACACATACACAGGCGCTTTCTCACCTGGCTCAGGACTTCTAATTGCCAGGACTGGGAGCTCATGGATTCGCCGGGTGGCCTCGCTTGATTATGAAATGAATTATTTGCATTACGGCGAGCACACACATGGCTGCACTTGTGCACTACTTAAAACAATATGTATATTTTGCATTCGAGCATTTGCAACCAGGAGGAGGTTAAGCAGCTTGAAAGGCTAGAAAGTTAATTTAAACATTATGTTCTCTACGGTTATGTTCCAATATTATGTTTTTCAAGGAAGGTTGAGTCCTTTTCGCTCTAATGCGTTCGAATGTCCCGACAATATGGAAATGTTTGTGCGCACAGCAATGCGATATCTTAATTAGCATCCTCAAGCTAATTATCATTGGCTTTATCAGACACGCACACACATGAGCGAGCAACCAAATGGCAAAGCGGAAACGGAAACGATGGCAAAGCAATTGGCAAATGGCCTCCGCTTGATCCTTTGCCCTTTGCCTCGTCCTTTGACCCCCCGGTTCGTTTATTGGCAGCTGCAATTAGGCGTTCGGTCGCCAAACATCCGCTGCAGCTAGCCACCCAGTTTTCCCATCTATATATATCACTATTTATTTGGACCAACGGAAAATGCCACAAGTGTCCTTGGAAACTGTTTTTGGTTTTAAAGTCATTTATTATGTAATAATAACTGATAATTATTACTGACTACAATGATTCAACTAAAAATGTTAGACCAAAATAAACGTTTTTTCGTGTTTTCAGTCGTAATTTGGACAATTCGAGGCTCACAGCTAAAAGACCGACTGTTCCGAACAGCTAACAACCTAAACTAACGATCCCCATCACTTTTGGGAAATTTTAATTTTTCACCAATTTTCGCATTTTTGATAAGGGGTTACATCATGATTTTTTGCAAAAAATGGCAAAAAATTAAAATGTCGAGATTTAAACGCAAATCGATTGTGAATTTTATTACGAGTTCAACGATGTATGACATTCCATATTTTGACCATTACTTTCTTTGTTCTGGCCAAAATTCTGTTTGTTTTCGGGGTAAAAAATCAGGATCTCGATTTTTGGTAAAAATTTGATTTTTTTTTAAATGGATTTTTTGCTGTAGCTTGGACATAAATGGTCCCAAATCAAAAAGGCGCACTATTGTGTGCAGCTTACAACCTAAATATTAATATCAGCGCACTTTCCGACTGATTTCCAAAAATTAATTTTTGACCCAATTTTCGCATTTTTGATAAGGGGTACCATCATAATTTTTTGCAAAAAATGGAAAAAAATTAAAATGACCAGATTTAAACGCAAATCGATTCGGAATTAATCTACGAGTTCAACAAGGTATGACATTCCATATATTAGCTATTATTTCCTTTGTTTCGGCAAAAAAACTGATATTTTATGATGGAAAATATGGATACAAATTTTAGGCAAAATTAAATGTTTTCTTTTGCAGTTTTTAAGTCGTAAAAGATCAAGTAAACTTCTCTAGGAGACCGAAATCTTTAATTAGTAGAACTCTTTGGAAATTAATGTAATTAATTATACCAATAGAGCAGGGAGAAATAGAAATATTTATTCACAGAGCGACCACTTTACCTTGGACAAATGCAGAAATGCCAGCTAATTGCAGCCAACTAATGCTGCCACGCCCCACCCCTAGCCACCGCCCTCTGCCACGCCCACAAGCGAAAGCAGAGGGTAACAATTAATTGTGCTCATTTTTTAGGAATCCCTGCCACGCGCTTCATTTCAATTTGCACTGAATTCTTGCTCGTTTTTTGCTGTTTCCCCCCTTTTCGCCCACTTTTTGCACTGTTAGCTGCAATTTTCGGTATTATTTTTAACCGAAAATTTGCTGTGTCAGGCACCCTATGCTCGCCGCCACGCCCTCCATTTGCCAGGGGGCCAACCGCCCCCTTTCCGATGTTGTTTATTGCACTTGCAACTTCCGCAACAAACGAAGATAAATTGTTACTTTCTTGCTCGCGCTGCTCGTGTTTTTAGAGCTGCTGTCGCTCTTTTTTGGCTGGCCGTGCTGCAAGTGTTGCTATTTTTCTACCCCACATAGTAGGAGGGGTGTTTTTGGGTTGGCAGGTTTTTCATTTAAGGGTATTTTATAAACAAGCAGATATTTTAATTAACATTATCGAGCGATTTTTGGGTCACTAAACACTTTGGTTAACCGTAAATAATGTATTTATAAAGAATTATTTGTTCTTTATTTATTATTTCAAATGAAACGGTTCAAAAGAAACCATTTATTGAAACGTTAAAAATGTATTATTCATATATTCATTTGATTCGGCTTATAAAACGTGAGATTAGGGCGATAATCTGTCGCCACTGGAAATTAGCGATAGTTCTTATCGCCTTGCTATCACACTGATTACACTATTTATTATCAATCTCACGCACTTTTGTGTTGAATAAAATAATGTAAAAGCAAATCACTCAATAATCCCCCGAAAGTCGAATCATAACTCCCTTGATGGCAGCCCAAACTAATTTCGAGTTGTCAATGCTCTCCCATGATTGCATTCCCATCATTTCCCTAAGCTTCAAGTAATTATCAATGACCCAATTTAGATTGCAAATTCAAGTGCCAGCAGCGATGTGGGATTAGCTCCAGTCCCCAGTATATATACATGTATAATATGTGCCTACATATAGAGAAGTCACTGCCTTTAATCGAGCGATAGTCACTATTTAAACCGATTTTGGGACAGACATGATTGACCGACGAAAGAGGAGCAAATATGGGAAGAGAGCACACTTAGCCGCAAGCACACTTGAAGAAAATACTTATCAGTGGGTTCCGGCAATAAAAAAATTATACGAAGTAATAAATCGCCTTCGACATATAATTAAACATAATTAAAATTAATTTTAAAACACTTTCGGGATTATTAAATGCCGAAAGGTTAGGATTTTTTAATACAGATTAAGGGGAGAGATACATATAGAAATACATTTTATAGATCGTTAGCATAACTCTTTGAGAATATGCCAAAAAAGTTTCACGAAAAAATTTGAAGTATTTTGGAAGTTATTAAAAAGATTAATAGATTTCTAGAATTTCTAGAAAAAAGAGAAATCTGTTTTTCCCTCAGTTTCCTCGAACCTTTTCTTTCTTAAAGTGCCTTTTACAAAGAGATGTGTGTACCTATAATACGGAATACTGTTTCTGTTGGCTGTGTTTACCCCGCCTGATTACCGAAACACGAAGTGGGCGGCCGTAATCTCAGACATTGACCCCTCCTGCGGTCGCCCCCGGTGAACTGGGGAATCGGAATCGGTAGATAATGGTGTGGCACTGGAACTGGAACCCACCACCACCATCGATAAGAATTTCCCGGCTTCTCGGCTTCGAGCTACCAGCTCTCTGCCTTCGCCAGTTAGTCAGTGTGAGAATGTCGAACTGGTCGCTTTGTTGTCCGCTTTTCCTCGTCGTGTTCCTTGCGGTCCACTTGGCCTGTGGATCCCTGGACTTGGATCCCTCGCTGCTCGAGAACGTGGATGTGGATCAGCTGAAGTCGAACTATCTGCCGCCTGGCCTGCAGAATGCCAATGTCTCGCTGGCCGATTTCCAGAAGCTGCTGCAAACGAAGTGCGAGAAGGCGGCCAATGACAAGTCGGTGAATGCCACTGCCCTGGGTAAATCCATCGAAGAGGCGGCTTTAAAGCTGATGGGATGCCTCACGGGGCTGGCCAACATGACGGAGATTCAGGCCGAGATCGCCGAGGCGAGTCCCAAGGGAGATTTGGATGTGGTCTTTGAGAAGTACTGCCTCCGGATGCCGCAGGCCAAGGCATGTTTGAAGGACTTCAACGACGCTTTGCTGCCCTGTTTGACCACCGATGAGAAGAGCCACAATGCGGTGTTGCAGCGCATCGGGGACAAGTTGCTGGAGTTCATTTGCTACAAGAACGGCGATCAGATTGCTCTGTTTATCGCCGAGCAGGGTCCCGAGTGCCTGGAGCAGAGTCGCGATGGCATTGCCACCTGCCTGAACAACACCTTTTCGAGCTATCTGCCCAAGGAGCTGGGAAATCCCGCCGATTGGTCGCTGCCCCAGCTGATCCTCGGCCCCAAGGAGTGCGTCGATCTGTATGCCTTCGAAACGTGCACCGTTGAGCTGCTGGAGAAATGCGAAACGATCACGCCGAGCAACATTGTGGAGAGTATGTTCCGCTATGTGCGAAAGGAGTCCTCCTGCCAGCCGCACATCGATCGGGCCAAGCAGCAGCACAAGCGAGCCCTGCCCCTTCCTTTGACTGGCGGATCTGGATCCGGATCAACCTCATCCCTGCATCATCTCACCTGGACAGCGGCTGGCCTGCTAATGGCCACTTTGCTTACCCGACTGGGTTAGCTCCTGCTCTCTCTCGCTCTCCTTTTTTTTGATATTTTATAATTATGTTTAATAAACTTTGCAAAGTCGGAAGCGGAGTCTCTGTAACCCGTAGCCCGTCGTAAGCCGCTTAACGGATTCCCTTTTCAACTCCGGGAAACTGGGGAAAGTGAGGAAAGCGGGGGACCAAAGTGTTAAGCTGCATAAACACAAGCCTGAAATATGAACGGCGACTGGGGTCATACCAGGTGCACTGCGACAAAATATATGGGTATTATTTAAGTTAAGGGAGGTCGCTAAGAAGGTTCACTATACTATAGAAAAGCGCCTTTTTTATTATATAGGAACCTTACTTATTTTTCATAATAATCCGAAAATCTGTAATCCCTTTCGATGATCTAGCTGTTTTTGGATCAGTGAAGCTGTTCAGCCCATTTAAGTTAAGGGAGGTCGCTAAATATACTAAAAATACTAATATACTAGTATTCTGTACTAATAAAAAAGCACCCTTTTTTTGTGGAAAATAAAGCCGCAACGAAGATGGTTTGCTAGAGAAATCTAAAAATAAAAACCGAAATTCAGAAACAAATCAAACATATAAACTACGCATAAAAGTTCCCAAAAATGCTGGATTTAAGTTTTAGCCGGCATGTTTTTCTCTCACTGCAGTGACACCATATTGCGCTTATCGGCCAGCAGCAGCTACAGCTACAGAAGCTAAAGCTATAGCAACCGAAACTGTGGAATATATAGAGCAACACACAATCCGAATACGAATACGAATCCCAAGCTAAAGCAGCCGCCCGGTTGAAGGGTCACTCGAACGCCGCGTCTCTTATCGCCGGAGACAAAGACAAAGGGATTGCAGGCTGGAGAGCTGGGAGCTGGGAGATTGAAGATTGGAGGAGTGAAGGGAGAAGGGGAAAGTGTGAAAGTGAGAAATGCGAATGGGAGAATTTTGGATGGAGAATGGAGAGTGAAGAGTACGACAGCTGCAGTGGCTGAACTCAGTTGAGAGCGTGGCAACGAGATAAGCAAATTGATTTGCCACCCAAAATGCCGTCTTATTTCTTGGGTTCCCCCTTTTGTTTTTGAGGACGGCCTGGTCATCCTCGTTCATCACGAACAACTGAAATGGAATACCAGTCTGCAGACCAGTCGAAACTTTCAAATACCCTTGATTTCGAAATATAATAATAGAACTCACAGTTTTAACAATAACCTATTCATAAAGTTAATAGAAAATTTTTTTATTTTGAGTAATTGTAATTTAATTTGTACCATAACATATCATTTGGTATCTGTAAATTGGCCATAGCCATCTCTTTTGGTTTGGAATTTAAAAAGTCCGGTCAACGGACAGCGAATGAAAAAATGAAACCGCAACTGTCATCATTTCACAGACGAGTGCAGCTCGGGGGTTGGGTTGGGGTTGAAAAGAATCGGTATAGAAAAGCTGAAAAACAAGGAGCTCATCCTTGCTTCTTTCTGCTTTTGGAGGCCATTTTGATGGTAGACGAAGCGTGAAATGAAATGGACGGGGCCTTACTTGGCTTGGCTCGGTTTTTTTCCTCTGCCTTTTTCGGAAATCCTTCAAAAGTACTGGAAATAATTTAAACCAAAAACTGGACGCATATTATATCTGCGGATATGTATAAATCAGGGGTGCTTTGTGCTTTTTGTTAAGTCACAAAACATACCCGCGGTCACACGCCTATCTTGCACTGGGCACACGTCGATTCTTTGATAGATATTTTTTTCTCGCACTGTAATAAGCCTTTTTTAAGAACACCTACTATTCCTAAATTTCCTTAAATTATAAGAATTTATATTTTAGCTTTCCCACCATATTAAATCCCGCCTGAGGCCAAATTAACACTTAAGCCATTCCCACGACACGAATGCCGTTAACTTTGGCTAGTTAGCCCGTCGAAAGTCTTTGGCCAACAAGTCATAAATGTTGCAAACTTAATTAGGACTGCAGTTCTGTTCTCTTTGCAAGTTGCACACGACCACGCCCTCATCGTTCCGCTCTTCGCCGCCCCTTTGCAGTCCATTATTGATGTGAAAAATGCGGAAAATGAATGCGTTTCCGGTACTTTTCGCAAGTTGGCAGCTAAATTGCAACGGTCATGAATCATTCGCGACTTTCCCCGCTGCCTTTCATACTCTTTTAGTCCACTTTTCCAGCGTTTCTCACATTCGGCGATTCGCTGGATTCGAAAGGAGCAGACAAACTTTGTACGTGCCACGCGAACTATTGCCAAAAAAGAAGGGGTTTGGGTTGGGGTTGGGTTGACCAGGGGTTAAGCAAGGGTTCTGCAAAGTTGGCTGGCAAATAATTGCACGTCATTGGCCAAATTATTGGCCCCCCTTTTCGGCCAACGCTTGGAATAAATTCAGAGGAGTGTCGAGTGGTTGACCAAGTGGGCAATCCCCATTCCCTTTGTTATTCCTTAAGCACACTTTCAATAAACTTTGGATTTATTTCGATTTTTTATACCCCTTACTCGTAGAGTAAAAGATTTTGTAAACGTTTAAATGGTATTTTGTTGTGTTTATTAATGCCTACCGAAATGTAGAAGAAAATTTTTAAATCGGACAATTCACTAAAAAGTTATGGGCGAAAAATGACATGGCCGCTAGATGAAGCCAGTAGTCGAATTACAGGACTATAGCGTTCTTTCTAGTTTTTATTTTTTTATTTTAACACTAAAATCACCAAAAATTAGGAACCGAATGGTATTTCTTACCAACTTATCTTCTGCAAGCTTCTTAGAATTTTTGCTTTATTTTTTTGATCACATTGAAAAAGAAAACTGCGAATGAGAAGTGGCTGCACTTTGTCAAATTTAATTAAATATTTCAATTTTGGTGCGGGGGAAAAGCTGCCGCAACTATCTCTAATTGTGCACGCGTTTTCCTTTGCGACAGACGCCCAACCCAAGCCAACCCTTTGCTTTCCTTCTCTCTCTGGGGAGTGGAAAAGCGGGAAAGCGGGGGGCGGCAGGTGGAGTTTTCACCTGAGGCGTCTGCGGCTGTTGGTGTCCCACGCTTCAACGCTCATTTGCAAATGTTTGGCTACATGGTGCGGTGTGAAAAGCGCGCCAAATCGAGAGGAGAGCGGAGTAAGTAGGGGTGGGGGGTGGAGAAAGTAGGGGGAGTTGAGAGTTGAAAGGGTTGCAGTGAAAGCGCAGACATGGGGCCCATGGGGAAATTGCAGCAAATGCAGCAGCCGACAGATTGAATGCATCTTTGTTTACGAGGGTTCAACAGGGGGTGCAAAAGGAGGATTAAGTGGGGGTTAAAAGGGGGCTGGCTATTCATATGTGCAGAGCCTCTTCTGTATTTGGGCTAATGGAAGATTCAACATGAGAGCTCTGATCGATAAATGAAACTTCATTCACACAAAATATGTAAGAGTAACCTACAATGACAGTGGTAATATTTTCCAGTATATCAAGTGGAATTTATAGCCCCAAAGTCCCCAAATCCACCGCCTAATACTTGGGCTAATTAATTATGAATTCAATTTGGCAAACGGTGGCCGATAAAGGAATCTATCGAAGGAAGCTGACAATTTCCCGCCTTTCTCCGCCTTTCTCTAGCCACATTCTCACGCACTTTCATCACTGATTTCCCTGCAAGTTTTCCTCCCGCCTCCTGGAACCCTTTAGCCACCCCCCTCCACACTTTCCACTCGAAGTTTGCAACACATACTCCAAGTGCGCTTTGTCTCCCAGCCCCTTGACTTTCACCTTTCTCCTCGGGTGTCCGTGTGTTTGCATTCGTGTTGGTTTTACGCATGAATGTCTGTGTGTGGCAATGCGTGTGTGTGTGGCCGGGGGGTTTGTGTGCGGAGAATGTGGAAAAAGCGGGGGAACCGCAGGAGAACTCCGGGGAATATTTGGCATCCACAAGTACGTATACTTTGGGGTCTAATTTGCGGTTGCTGGCGCAGCTCAATTTACAAGTGAGAAATTAAGATGTCGACGAAAACTTTGGTCCAAGACACCTTTTCTCACACGAGGCAAAGTGAAGTGAAGAAATGGAGGAAAGGAGAAAGAGAGAAGGCGTTGGAGATGTAGAGAAAATGGCCAATTCTCTACGCGCGCCACAAAGTCTAAAGTGTTAGTGGCATCGTAACCAATGCACTTTGCACCTGCCTTCTTCTTTTTTCCACCTTTCTCCCTCTCCATTTCCCCGAAAATATCCACCAAATGCGCTTTTAATTGCACAAGTTGCAGGCAACATGGGCAGAAATCTTCGCAAAGTAGTTCTCCCTTGAGCAGCTCACTCACTTTTCACAACCTTCAGTAGAAGTCGTTAATTTATTGGACTTTTTGTCGAGTAACAGGGATTAAGGAACAAATGATTAAAAATGTAAAAATGGCTTTTAAAAAACCATATGGATTTACATTTTTTTTTAAATGTCAAAAAAGTTGTCTAAAAGTGAACACTGGTCGACAGTTTGCTATTTCTCGATATTTAAAAGGAGTTTCCCTTGTAAACATCGATATTGTCTTATCGATTTTGTGAAAATATCGAAAATATCGATAATTTTGAAGCTCTAATAAATAATAGTCGCTTTTATGAATGAATTCATCGCTCTTTTGAGTTTAAAATATATTGTTGCCTACTTTTAGACGCCTATTTGTTGGGATTTCAAAAAATCCAGCGATGGTTAAGTTATTTTGGTGAATATTTATGGCGCTAATCCAATCTGAAATTAACCACTCTTATTGTGATGTCCTTTGGGAAACTCTACATATTTAGGCGAACAAGTTAGTGCGATATATTCGGGGGTAAGTGGTTGGTGGAATTCGCGAAACAACATGTCTCCTCGGCGCCTAACTAGCCTGATGTAAATTTGATTAAAACTGCACATTAAATCCGCTGACAGCTGTCGGAAGTCGTCGGGGGTTTTTCCGTGGGCTGTGTGGAAAAGGGGGGAAAAGTGGGGAAAATCGGGGGAAATAGCGGACAAAACCGCTGATGACATTAAAGTCACCCTTGTGCGGTTGTCTAAAAATTATGCAAAGACACTCGACGTCCAGAGGGGAAAAGCGGGGGTCTGCGGCTGCTGTTGCTGCCTCTGCTGCTGTCACACACGCTGCGTCAGCGATTTTCGCTT